TTAATATTTTTTGCATCAATATTTAATACTCGAACATAATTCTTTCAAAATAACCATTGATCTCTAATCATAATTGACATCCTTTCTCTAAGAGCAAAGAACTTACATTTAGGGTTCAAATCATTTCTATTCTAATTGATTCTTCCCACATAACCAAGAGTGTCCATAATTAAGAACCTCAAAAAGCAGCCAAAAAATGTAGATTATTGTGCATAATCTGTTTTTAATGGCTTGACACTGTGGGATTAGATAAGCTGTCTACTTCACACTCTAAGTGGATTCAAGAGCAAGAATTTTCAAAGTTTGGTTAAACGCTTTAAAAACAAAACTCCTAGTGATTTGGTGGGGTTCTTTTTTCTTGGAAAAATTTGGTGGGTCTGGCCCTATAACCAAGTTGATGTTACAGTTTTTAAATTGATATAATTACATTTAAATTTTAAAAGAGAGATAAATTAAATTTAAAATTTAATTTAATTGATATATTATAATAATATTTAATAAATTTAAAATTTAAATATCAATTTTTTCATAATCCGCAGCTCAAGTTTGTGGTTCTTGAATCCATATTAGGCGACGAAATAAAAATCTAAGGTATCAAGATTAGGTCATGAGGAGGACTGTGATTAGTGGCAATTTGTCCACCGACACATCCGATTGTTAGCAAAGAAATCAACATCTAACGCTACAACTAACAAAGGTGCTTAGCCTAACCTAATGTTTTTTTCTTTTTCTAATGATTGTGAACAGATAATCATATGCGTTGTTAATCCTGTAAAAAATAAGTTATTGTCCTTTCCTGGCTGGTGGCATCATGAAATTTTATTGGGAAAAATAAATGTTTTTTTTTTAGAAATGACAATTTTATTTGTTCAAGAAGTAGGAAAAAAGAAATTTGTTTTAAAAAAAGTTATACTAACATTCATCAACTCTATAAAAAACCGATAATATGATTAAATTAAATCAATGAGTATAAAAAACTTAGTTATGTATGTTTTAATTAAATTTTTTACTTTTAAGATATTAATATATATATATATATACTATACAATGAATATAAATATATATATATATGGATGAATAGATATCGATTTAAATTGATTTAATCAATTGAAACTAACAAAAAAATTATTAATTTGATTTAATTTATTCAATTTTATTTTGGTTATAGTAAATTTTTTGGATTGATTAAATTAATTAAATAAATCGATTTTTAATCTTTTAAATAGATAACTAAATCGATTAAATTAATTAATTTTTTAATAAATAATAGTAAAAAAATTGAAATGAATATTTTTATTTATTTTTTTCTTGTAAAATGTTATTAAAATTATTAAATTTTTAATAATTTAGTTTGAATGATATTTATGTTTAAATTTTATTAAATTGAATTTATAACTAAATAATTATTTATAATAAAAAAATAATAAAAATTTTAATTATTTAACCAAATCGATTTTGGTTGGTTCAATTTGATTCGATTATGATTAATTATTTAAAATTTATTAATTTGATAATTAATTTTTTAAAAATTAAACCAACAAAATAGATCAATTATTCATTTTTATATTTTTTTTTAATAAAAAATTAAAATTTATAAACAAAAAAATTGCAGGTGATATTTTTGATACGCAACCGATACAAGACGTGATTTGGTCAATAATAAGAATTGTGGGCAAACTCAAATCTTAGTAAAGATTTTTCTAGTTAAATTCTCAGCTTTGGAAATATTTTCTGTCCAAATAATTTGGAGCAAATTTCTATAAGAACAAACAAAAAGGGATATGCAAACTAGTCCTACTACTAGACAAGAAGCGTAGTCATGAACTTTGTATTATTTGAGATTGGCAGCTTTTCAATCCTTCTAACGTTAATGTGCGAAGTCATGGTCAAGGCTATGAACCACTGCAGCCTGTCCGATCTCCTCGATTTTGATTCTGTTTTTCATTCCCATTCAAAGACAGGACCAAGCCCGAATATCAATTCATTCACCATAGGAAAAAGCAGTAGCAATTAAAATTTGAAACATTTGGGCAAAAGCTTTTTAGATTATGGAGTATGGGTAACCAAAATTCTCAAGCCTCAGCTTGGTTTGATTTGATTTTTGGAGCCATTAGAGGAAGGGTCGTTGTTTCATGTTCATTACAAAAAGACAGTCATCTCTCTGTTACTGTAGAAATTATAGGGTTTTTCTTTCCGGTCACAGGCTCACAGCATTATTTTGTCGATTCTGACAGATATTGGCCCCGTAAGAAATCTCTTTGGTTCATGAATCGTTTACGCGTTTGGAACAATGCAGTGAACTATCCTTATCCTGTTCCTGGTAGTGGTCCCAAATCCCATTAATGGCTATGAATTTATGTTTTCATGCGACTCTTCCGTGCTAATTTGGTGAAGGCAAAAGCCCAATATCAAATGAATCCTTCTTGTGCTTTAATTGCTTTTGAATGAAGCCAAGCCAATGTTTTTGGGCAATTTGTGCTTTTTCACCATATCAAAACTTCCACCTAAATTCCAATTATCAGATATGTATGGGATCAGATTAATCTAATAATTAACCAGAGTCGATGAGTATGAAATTAAGAATTCAAGGATAAGCTTTCATCTTGAGCATGTTCTCTCCCGTGTAGAACTCTTTCAATTCAAAATTTGAAAGCACCAATTCAGCATAAATCCTACTTTTCTTTGGCTGAAAATTCAATGTAAGGTGCTCAAAAGTTTTGAATATTAAATCATTAAGGCGATAGGTGGGAATTCAAAAATTAAATTCAGTCTTTAAAAGAGGATGTGATGCTGAAAACTACTGAAGCAGGAATGAAAGTTCAAAAAGGTCTTAACAGTTGTGCCTAACTTTGTAGTTTGATGGGCCGTTAGTCTTTTTCTAGCCTTTGCCTTTTGCACAAGACCTTCCTGAAAAGATCGGTCCCCTATCCTGCCCAATAATAGGCCCCCTTATAATTGATAGGTTTCACTCTCAGCTGCAATCGAAAAACTTCAGTCGACCCAACAAATTCAACTGAGCCAGGTTCATTTGTTTTTCATTCTAACAGTTCAGTTTTTAACATGGAAAATTAGTAATGGCTAACTTCTTCTTGTGAATGTTGCCCCAATCCACCGCAAGCATAAGGGATCTGCAGTTATCATCATCCCTTATGGGCCTATAGTGCTCTACAGGCTGCATGCTTGATGAAAAAAATCATAGAGCTCAGGCTGCAAAATCAATGCAGCAGGATCACAGGCCAGAATGTATTTCTCCCTAACCGACCATGCATACCCTTCAATGTAGATCTTGTACCTGCAAAAAAATCATGAATTATTCCTATACGTGCATTGATCTGCAATGTTGGTTTGTTTAAAACCTTGATGGCCTTCAAGGATCCAATCCTGCAAGTCTAGGTGGCTCCGCCAGTGCATAATCAAATTAAACCATTAATAATATAAAATTGAAACCATGCATCACGATTGAAATGATTATTATCCGAAAGCTCACAACTTGATCATAATGTATAGAAGACATTTCAATTATAATATGAAATTGAATGTCATCATCATCGTTAACCACCTTAGTTTCATGGTCAGCCACGCTGCAAAATTCCAGTTCCAGACAACAGCTTGGCAGCAGCTGATAGACAGAAATTAGATGGTTCGAAATTTCTTGCAACAAATTTAAAATGGTGTGATATATCCCTGGAATCCACTGATATTTGTTTGCCTCCTTCAGCTTAGTTGTTTCAGAAAGAAGCATTAATTGATAGTGAATTTCTGAGATTTCATAATTCTTTAGATCTAAAGAATTCTAAAAAAAAAAAAAAAGCTTACAATTGCTATAAGTACAACTATATAATATAAGAGTTCATTTTTCATACATTAACAGTAATTTTTAAAAATTCCATATACAAGGTTAAAAAGTTATCTCTATTTTTTTATTATATCCTTAAAAAAAAATCATTTTTCAGTGAATGAGCACGTTTTCACTTATCCTTAATTAACTTAATTATCCCTTAAATCCACATCGATCAGCCTATTCCTCAAAGTTAATTAAAAAGATTAGTAATTTGCAAAAGTTCTAGGTGGCTAAGGCAGTCGTTATTACTCAATGGTCATGGATGACATTCTAGCTAGCTCTATATCTAACTAATTATTATTATAAAGAATCAACCAAATCTCCAAACTTAACCCATTATTTAGAACTACTTTTAAATGAAATTTCATTATCATTGACCAAATAAAAAAAAAATTCAAAACAATATGTCAACTTCCAATAGAGTGAAATATTCATTTGTTTGGGTTAAAAAATTTCTAACAGAATAGTTTGATTATTTATCCTGTTTTCTTTTTTTTTTTAAGTATTTCACTTATAATTTTTTTATTACAATATTAAAATTGTTTAATAACAATAAAAAAATATTTAATGATCCATTACTAATAAATATAGATTGTATATCAAATTTTGATAAATCCCACATAATTTTAAATTGTAATTAATTAATTATACTATAACTAATATTCCCACATTTTTTAGAGGTAATATTGGAGTTTGATTGCCAACAGCAGATAAGAAATGTATAATAAGCATAAAATAACATTACTAAATTAATTCAATTAGGCAAAAAAAATTTTCTTCATGGCATCATCAACAAACTCCAATACTTAATTAATGTAGTAGAATTTTTAAATAGTGATAGGCTTAAAAGAGTTGATCATTGCTGAGTAATTAAACAACTCTACCTTGTTCAGATCAAAGCATTCTTTAAACGTGCATTTAATCACCTGACCTGAAGAAATATATTCTGTAGAGATGGCTCCTCTTCCTGGCCCTCCATATGCTGACATGGGTTAATAAATAGGAATGGAAATATAGTATTTTAGAAGAGCTTGTAAGTACAAAAAAGATCAATCAAAGTTCTTTTTTGCTTCTTTTTTTAATTTCCAAGTATTTTATATGGGACCCCATGATTGTGACATTGCATTGTTTTTTTTTTTTTTCTTTAATAATTTGAGTTACAACTCAGCTTCTAGAGGCATAAAAATAGCCTCTTGCCGGCCCTTCTCATCCTCAAAATCACCTGAACTTCTTAATTTCCTTTTGACATTTCGATGGCTAAGGTTCATCCTCAAGCAACCGTTTCTGATCCTTGCAGTATGAGTTCAGCTGGAAGAGAAACATTCACGATATGGATGAAATCGCTTGTTTGCCACACCAATGGTTGCACCGTCTTTGATTCAAAAGGGGAGATTGTGTATCGTGTCGAAAATTATGACAGCAAGGGCAGCAGTGAAGTTCATCTCATGGACCTGCGTGGCCAAGTTCTCTTTACCATACTAAAACAGGTACCATTGATGCAACTAATTGGACTTTTCCTGAAGTTCAGCATCGAAGTTCTCTTTACTGAATTGGGTTTTTCCTCTTTTGACTCTTGTTGCAGAAACTACAACTTTTTGGATGTTGGAATGGCTACAGAGGGAGCTTCACTGGCAGAAAGAAGGAAAACCCATACTTTCAAGTCAAGAAATACCGCAGCATTATCCAGAGAGATTTATCTTGTCAAGTATCTGTGGGTTTTGACAAGTACTGGATAGTTAGCTTAGGTCGCAAGAAACAAGGATTTAAGATGGTAAACTTAGCAGGAGATATTGTAGCAGAGGTAAACACCAAGAATTAAATTTCTCTGTTACTTGGTCATTATATAGAAAAACAAGTTATCCAATAATGTTTTTTTGTTACTTGAAGCTGCCAAAATTTAAAACTTATCACTAAGAGTCCAATCTCTATTAACAGGTCACCATTAATGAATTAGTTTCAACTAATAACAATCATTCTTGTCAATTGCTAATAATGCAGGTGAAGCAGAGGCAATTATCATCTGGGATGGTGTTAGGAGATGATGTATTAACTTTGGAAGCAGAACCCTCTATTAATCATTCCCTAGTCGTTGCTCTCGTTACGGTTTATGGATTGATCAATAGGAGATTGTAGATAAACAATTTCAAAAATTTCGGGAAAGACACTAAGCAAGAGAAGCATATATACATGTTTGCATGAAGTATAGGCTTCTTCCAGATATAGCAGAGTGCATATAAATAGGGACTCTCATTCTGTTGTTTCAGATTTTTCTTTTTTTCCGTATTTCAGGATTTGTATATCCTTAGGATGGAAAACCAATGCTAGGTTTATTATTGTAATTGACAGAAGAAAAGAAGATAGGAAGAAAAGAAAAGAAAAGAAAAGGTATAGGAAATAGATCTCGATTAATTTGTATTCATCAGAGCTAGCCAGAGCATAAACGTTCAGCCCAAAGCATGTTACAGATGTGATGATTTCTGTTCTTATAATTTTTTTGAGAAGATTGTGCCAAATGAAATTTTGGATCATACTCATAAATTTTCAAAGACAAAAGAATTTTTGGACTTTTTCTTTGTCTCCAGCACCAACCCTGCCATGTAATTCAGGTAAGTTAATGGTCTGCAAGAACATATCCCAAGAATCAAGGGGAAATAATGCATGGTCATTTATGCAATAAAAAAAATGCCAGCAGATTACGGAAATCAATGAGACGGTGATCAGCACAATCACTCTGACCAAGCTGGCATACATTTTGTATCCGAATTTAGTTTCTGATTTTTCTGTTAATCCACATTTTATTATCTTTTATGTGTTGGCATAAGAAAATATCCTCAATATTGTTCTGTTTTGTGTGTGATCAAGGAATTTTGAACTATTTTATTTATCAAATAAACGAAAATGTGGGAAAGAAAAGAAACGCAGCAGCCCATGTGTGTAGACTAGAGTGTAGTGTGGTCCACAAGCTCACCAACCTTGAAACCTGGTAGAATTTTGTCGGTGCCAAAAAGCTGCTGCAATCACATGTTGAGGGCCCTCGTTTCTTTAATGGTTTACACGTTTGTTGGGATTCCCATACATTATTGTTATGTGCCTACTCGATCCAAAAATGATCACCGACTACCAGGATCTTTCTCAAAATTCCTCCAAAGAAAAAAAATTATAAAAGTTTCCATCACGAGTGATATGTACAAATATGTACAAAACTTTTCATCAGCCCAAGAACCAAAGGCCGAATGTACCCTCATGACTAATAAACTAATAGTGGTTGATATAAGAAAAAATATTGAAAAAAAAATTGTAACCATTATCGTGATTTTACTCGACAGAAAGTGGGTTCAATCCATATTGATGGATTATCACAATGATGAGTTTCACCTCTAAAATGTTGTTCAAAGCTTCCATGATCTCCCATGTTATAGATTCCCTGGTCCTTTCCTTTTCTTCTATGTGATTCCTGATACGATGAAAAGCAGTAGTAGTCATCAGTGAAGTATATGCAGTCAGCTTTACAACCAGAGTTGCTTGTGACTTGGATAGAGAAAGATGAATTATGGCCTAAGAACAACGCTCTGTTCCCTAAACTATTCACCCGTTTCCACATCCCATCCTCCACGTCCAGTTCAAAAACTCGGAACCCCGTCGTTCCATAATCATGACCACAAATTTTCCCTTCTCGTGAAACAGCCAACAATGACCCTGCCGATTCCACCAAATAGAACCGCTCAAAATATTGCCATGGTTTTCTGATCATACTATTTCCATGATTTGCTAGGAACTCGCTGGGAATGGTTGAAATCACTTGAGCATTTAAATTCTCATGGTTGAAAACCCAAATTCTGGCAAGGATGTCAACACCAAAAAATTGTCCTTTATAATACAATAAATCATGGCATGCACAAGAAGGATAGGCTTCAACTGTTTTCCAGGTTTCCTCTCCAACTTTGCAAAATGCCACTTTGTTGATACCATTTCCATAAAAAATTGCAACCCTCAAATCATTTGGATTATTGGCAGATAAAATCGCTTTGTATATGAAATGAAAACCAGGACAATCAAATAAACGATCCGAATCCTTCAACGTGTGCATTTGTGGCAATGGTACACGAGCTCCAGATAGAGGATGAACTAAATTGATGTCCAAATTTTTGCCTATTGCAAACAGCCAACCTTGAGAGGCCAAGCACTTCTTACCATTGGCATCTCGTATTGGAAACCTATAAATCTTGTGCGTGGTGAGGCTAAGGAACTCACGGAATGTCTTGTTTTTCATCTTCCCAAGCATTAACCAAGGCGGCTGTAGCTGTGACGGTTCGAAGTTGTTCTTATCCGCTGCCAATAGCCATGAGGTACAAACAGCACCAAAGGCCAAAAAATGCTCCATGCAGACCAGCCTTTTTGCAATCAACGCCAAGAGGTCGGATGGAAGCTCTGACCAATTCGTCATCGTCAAAGCTACGAATATAAATTTGAAAAAGATAAGGCATTACATACAACACCATAAGCATGGACAATATGTATAAGCCTAAAACCTAAAGTAACAATTGTCTTGCAAACAAATTGTTAATTTTCCACGAGTAGTAGTAGACTTGAATGCTTTAATCAAAATTCGTAATTAAATAATAATATATACATGATATCATTTTATTGTCTAATTATTAATTTTTCTTTTAATTTAAAAGATGTCATTCAATAGATTTAAGGGTGAAATCTTAATATTATTATTTATTTCATTTTTCATATTATGATATTTTTGTTAGAAAAAAAAAAGAGTGCTTGATGGATTTCAATTTGGCCAAATAATAATCTATTATTAGTTAGATTTGGGTTTGGGAGCATGGGAAGACAGAGGAATAATAAGCATGTGTTGGGAATCAGGTTTATCAATATTCACCTTCTTATTTATTTTAGAAATTATTCATAGTACTAAATATAAATTGAAGGAAATCTGATTGAACATGGGAAAATAAACATAATTAATTCTCTAATTACCTTGCAAGGTGCAATCCACAAAGCTTTCACTTGTATATATTTTGATCTCCATATCAAACAAAAACCTTTTAAATTGCTTTGAGGGTGTCCCCTTGAAATCCTTTTGGTTGTTGTCGTAGTTTCATGAATGTCGATTAGTCGATTCTTCCAATCAATCTCTTGGTTATTGCGAGGATTTCACGGCGTTTGGTGCGGTTTGTACCTCATGGCGATTGGCTGCGGATAGAAGGAATTTTCAGCCATAAAAACAGCACCCTCGGTGGCTAATGCTCGCAGAAAGACCATGTACGGAACCGGGAGTTCTTCAGCCTGACAACGCACAAGATTCGTAGGGTATTGTTGTTCGAGCAATGGGTAATCGGTTCATACACAAAGCATCGATTTCAGGACTAGGGTGTTGGTTTATGACGTTTTGGACTCTAATCCTTCTACAAAAGCACCAATAACTTTTTTTCTTACATAAAAATTATAGGGTGACGGAGGATTTTTCCGCAAGATCAGAGTAGATCCTAAGTTTAAGAAAATATTTATACTAGATCCTAAATTTAAGAGAATATTTATATTAAATTTACAAATCGTCTATTAAAATATATTATTGATAATAAGATTCGGACTTAAATTTTATAAATAATTTCAGTTATATCAGTAAGATTTTTCAATTTTATATAGTCAGCATGAAATGAAGAATGGATATTTCTAATTGTGGTCATAGAGGTGAAATTTTTTCAAATGACATATTTTACTTTAAGGCAAAAATTTCCAGTTTTAGAAATTGTCTCACCAAAAGTGGCAATTCGTCCTTACGGATCGTTGAAAATGCACTCTAACACCCAATATATAATACATGAGAATCCGATTGCCCTCGGTTTCTTGACCGTTAAGCCTATGACGTCCAAACCTTCAATTAAAAATGTTGAATGCTAGTTGCCAAATATATAGTAAAATAATATTATACAAATAATAATGAAGATGTTAATTAAATTCTATCCCAATAAAAAAAAGTTTAATATTATCAGGTCAACATGGTGATGATGTATCAGATGATGAGAAACCAAAATTAAAAAAAAAATAAAAAATTCTTTGGTACTCCAAAAAAATTTTGGGTTGTATTGCCTCATATGGCTTGCATTGTCATTTATCAGCTGCCATGATTAAATTACTATTTCATTGGATTTTGCCGGCGGAAGCAGGCTAGCCGCCCTCCATTACCATGCTCCCCTTCGCATAATTCTCCATCTATATCTCATTCACTTCACAAATTCAACTACTTGATCATCATATATATCATTGAAAAGTATGAGGCAAGCAGGAACTTATTCAGGCATAGTCTCGGGGGAACATCTGGGAGAACCGGGCCTCATTTGTTGCCCTTGGCAAGGATCAAGAAGATCATGAAAAAGTCAGGCAATGATGATAAGATGATATCTGGGGAGGCTCCAATTGTTTTCTCCAAGGTTTGCGAGCTGTTCATTGAGGAGCTTACGCAAAGATCTTGGGTGGTGACAATGCAAGGCAAGAGGAGAACGCTTAACAAAGAGGATGTCACCTCAGCTGTTATGGCTACTGATATATTTGATTTTCTTGTCAACTTGGTATCTCATAACTCTTCAAGCTCTGTGGTCGACGCTACTACTTCTCTGGAAATGGATACCTTCAATTCATCATAGGCCTCTCCCTCTCTCTCTTCCTCCATTAATGCCTATACAAATTTGTAAGAAGTCCCCACGTAAATCTGAATCATGAATATATATATATATATATATATATATAGCTTTAAACTTTACGATTATGATAAATTTCTTAATTGACAATATAATGGCATAATTTATACAAGGTTTTAAATATTAATCAATCTATTAATGCCTTCTCGGTTAAATGACTAAATCTCACTCCCTCTTCTATTGTATTTTCAAAATTTAATTGAATTATATTAATTATTATGTATCGTTCAAAAATATTTATCATATTTTTAACTAAAAAGATTATATTTTAAATAAAATAAAAATATTAAAATTTAAAATTTAAATATAATAAATGCACACTCTTAAAAATTATTGTACAAATTATGAATTAAAAAAATTTATTAGAACTTAATAATAGTCTTTATTAAGTGTTCAATTATGAATTTTTTTGGGTCAAGGTTAAATTTTGTATTTTTTTATCTTATTTTAACATAAGAATGGAGTAGCTGGTACATACTACTCAGAAACCACCATCATAGATACATCATACATTAATTAATGTAGTTACTAGTTTATTCTTAAGCATTTCTTTTTCATGTCCAAAATCATGGGTATTCCGAAATTTAAAATTTGACCAAATGGTTTGAAGCTAGCTTAGGGCCAAAAGCCTAAGGGCAGTTTTGGGTATAGCTAGGCAAGCATGTGTCGATAAAACAAAAACTCAATCCACTTCAAACCAACCAAGACTTTTTTAGCGTTGATGATGATACTGGTGAGCCCATGCGACTCCTCTTATTCAAACCCAAGTCCCAATAGATTGTATAGATTCAACCAATGGGCCCAACTCAATCAACCCAACCACCACCACCACCAGGGAAGGCTACCGGTTAGGCTGATAAGTAGCTGAAAACTGCATTTTCACTAATCCCACCAGGGACCAAGAACTCATTGCTGTCTAGTCGAAATGGCTGTGGCAGCTGGGACTTTTTGATCACCTTTTCCATTTTCTTGCTCGATTCTGCCACCATATTTGGTCACTTCACAGCAATGGCAGCTGCTCTTTTTCTCGATTATTTTCCCAATAACATAGTCTTCGGGATTAAACACATCTGTTTGAATAATTATTCCCAAAAAATATGAATAAAAATATGCTGCCTGTTAAGATGACAAAAGAAAACTTTGGTGAATGCAAAGTGTAGTGAATTTTAATACTATATTTATATATAGGAGAAGAGATTAGGGGATACCATGGGCGTTGGTCCCCGTTTTGTTTAAACAAGCTACTTTTTTTCTCAGATCTGATACATTTTGTATCAACTTTATAAGTCAGAAGCATTCCCTAGTCGGTTTATTTTGATTTCTTTTGGTTAATATATATGTCAGAACTAAGTTCAAGGCAAGTAAGCGGATACTGTAAAACCATCAGACATACGCACATAGGAATATAGAATATTATATGGATTGTCAACACAAATCTCATGATAATAGATCAGAAGCATTCCCTGATCGGTTTATTTTGATTTTTTTTTTAGGTTAATATAAGTCAGAACCAAGTTCAAGGCAAGTAAGCGGATACTGTAAAACCATCAGACATATGCACATAGGAATCTGGAATGTTATATGGATTGTCAACACAAATCTAATGATCACCTGAAAAAAGATGGCAGAAAACCCATCTCAGATCGATGCTTCAATATGGTGAGAAAATTCACCAACTTTGGCTAGATCATACTTATAGTTAAGTAGGGCACCGATAATAACGTAACAACTCCATTTGAGAGGTAATGTTGAAGGTCGCTATCATAATTTATTTGCACCTTCACTTGTTTTGAGTTAATGTTCCTGTTTCATATTTCTAAACAATTAATGAAATTAAAAGATTTTGTTAGGCAAAAGAAATAGGTTTAAGATTTTCGACTTTCAGTTTTCATTTGTTTTTGGGGAGGGGGGGGGGGTATATCATAATGGATTCACATTTGAAAACTTGGATAATTGGTGCACGTGCACTATTAATGGAGACAGACAGGAAGTTGACAACTGGTCTGCTGTAACAATATATATGGAAGCAAATTGACATCTGTAAAATGTTCATCAATTCATTTTGCAATTTACTACAACATTTTCTTGAGGTTGGTTGGCCGGCATTTGTTACAAGTTGAGTAACACAACATTTTCTACAGCAATACAAGCAAATATATGTCAACTGGCATTTTCAGGGGTAGCAAGAAGAAAAGTTCATCTTTTCCTTCTTTTCTCCTATAAAATGGTTAATAGAATATTCATACTATTTGAAGAAATTATAATAAGAACAGTCATGTGTATTAATTAATCATTCTTTCGAGGATTCTTGTAAGCTTATTGATTGTATTAAAAAAATCAAAATAGCAAACAATACTGTTTTCCTTCTTCTATCTACAATTTTTTTTTTTTTTTTTTTTTTGCAAATTAGGGGCTGTAAAGTTGTTTTCTGAATTTCCCATAAGCCTCTACTAACCAAGTTCTGAATTTTTGTTATTTGTCAGATGGAGATAATGAGAGTGTTTTTCATTATACCATAGCATCGTTTTGTCATGTACCTCTACATGAATAGGGAAGAAGAACAATTACACCTTCGTCCGAAAGTCGGAAACATTCAATACCTTAATTTTCCTGCTGAAGCTAAAAGGGGAAAAGGGAATTCTAATACTCGACCATAATTTCATTTAGATTTCAACTGTTTTATTTGTTTTCAAATAAGACAGTAAGACAGTATTGTACATTTGCTCCTCTAATAATGTATGTGTTCGAGCATGGTGACAATCTCGTGGCTTAGAAATTGTGCTGATCATCTTGTGTTTTTTTCCTCCAAAATTAGTCTTTACAGGAAACTATTATGGCAATTCGCTATCTACCTAGCTGTCCCAAAACTTTGTTGGTCACTCTTGTGTGGTTGGCATAAATAATTTATCTTTCAATGTTCCATCCTTTTTCTGCAGCTGTAACAATGATCATAATAACTAATAGGAAGCATTAAGGCACCTGCATTTTTGTCTTTTCAGATCATTACAAATTTACAGTCACCTACCAATTTCTTTTGTGACGAGGAAGGCCAAAATTTGGGATAGAAAAAGGAGAATTATTGTAAGTGTTAGGATAGTATTTTAGCCTTAAAAAATAGTAAACCATTTGAGTTAAGTCCGAGTTTTACTCGGTTTGTTCACTTATATTTTGCTTGTTGTTTCCGTAAGTGATAACACAAAAGCTACAAATGTTTCCCTTCTAAACTGTTGTGTGATGATATCTTTACTTTAACAAAGCTAAGATGAAAAACCAATCACCTTTATTGTCAGGACCCAACCTCTATTTGTACCTACCACAACCACCCTTGTAGTTTTCAACTGACATTTCCAAAGGTTTCTCTTTCTCCATCCGTTTCTCTGCTAGTTTTGCTGTTGCTTAAAATCTGTCTAGAATTTACCAGAATTTTCTGAGAGGGGAATTGATAATTTTGGTGTTCTTTTTGGTGGAGTATCAGTGGCTAAGTTAAAGGAATACGTAGTTGGGGGAGAGGAGGAGGCCAACACAATGGAATCCTCTGAACCCAAGGAGCTGCAGCAACCTGTTAAGGAAGAGAAAGATGCAGCTCAGAATGATGTAGCTGAAGAGAAGAGCGTGATCCCAGGCCCTGAAAGTATGCTTTCTCTCAGACTCTAGAAAGGCTTTGATTCTTTGTTTCTTTTTTTCCCCATTTCACTCTTGCTTGCTTATGTAACTCGTGATTCTGTGGATGTTTTATATATCAACTTTATCTCCTTGAAATTCACTTATTTTTTGTGATTTTTCCGTTAGAGATCTTTTCTATTTGACATGTCTTCAGGGTCACGGCAACCTGAAAATTTATTGGGTTGTTTTGTGTTTTTTTTTTTGGATAAATATTATGTTCATTATCCAAGAAGCAGTAAAACTGCTACAAAACATGTACAACTGTTTCAATTTTTACATTTCAAACATATCTCTACTTAACCCCTAACTCTTACTCAATTCCTGGTTAACATGATCAAAAGCAACAGTCTTCAGTCCCATTACTCTCAACCTGACTACCTCTTTGATTTGCTTTAAAACCATCTCTCCTGCTAATGCTTCTTGTCTATTCTTCTATTTCACTCTGTCCATATCTCATAAATGTATGCTCCCCTAGCCAACCGAAGCATAATTGAAACCAATGCCTTCCTTTTAAGCTTGGCTACAGCCCATTGGAACTCATTTTCCCATCCAGCAACTTCTCGTCTTAGGTTACATAGCAACAGTACTTGCTTCCATACCTTTTTTGAGTAGCTGCAGCTGAAGAAGACGTGATCTCTACTTTTTTTCTGCTGTTTACTTAACACAGTAATTCTGTTTTTAGAGCTCTGTTCAATTCAATTTTGGGGCTTCATTCTAAACTGAAACAGTAATTCTGCATATGTTTTACAAAATATTATTAGGCTGTCTGCATGCAGTCAAAAGTTATTTTGAAAAAGAAAAGGGTGTCCTTAAGATTCGTTTTGGTTTTATATATTTCTATTCTATTTTTTCATCTGCTTTATAAAAAGCTGCATCTGCCAGAATTATTTCTCTATGCCAAAGTACTGCGTGCCAGACAAACTTTGTCGCAACATGCCACGGGTTGCACGTCCTAGCAAATTACTTGTAGCTAATAATAATTTTCATTTCCAGAAACAGAACCCATAATGTTCATCGAAATTTTAGTTGATCTTAATAACCCTGGTTGGAATGGGAAATTTTCAGCCATTTCAGTTTAACTAATACAGGCTGCTTTATGACATGACATTATCTGACCTCTTTAAATGTTGAAAATGGCAGAAGTTGCAGCAGCACCAGCTACTGAGAAAAGTCCAAACAGCAGAGGTATTGGGCTATATGCTCATTTATTTGAAAGCATCTGTCCTTTTGGACATGGTACATTTATTTTCTTATCAGATCATTATTTCAGATTCTGTTCTTGCACGGGTTGAGACAGAAAAAAGACTAGCTTTAATTAAAGCATGGGAGGAAAATGAGAAGGCAAAAATAGAGAACAGGTAAGAGGCCATCTATAATCTCTATTTGTGTAATATATAAGTTCTTAGCCATGGCCAATTCACATCAAACCTTTACAAGCAACTTGGAATGCTGAAATTTGTGAAACCAGGGCACATAAGAAGATATCTGCTATTGGATCATGGGAGAATACCAAGAAAGCTGGTGTAGAAGCACTGCTAAAGAGAATTGAGGTAACATTCTCCACCAGATCAGTACACTGAACTCCTAAGCACAAGTAGCTTGGATTAGAACAAGTTTTAGAGACTGTGGTTACTGTGTTTGACTAAGGTTTTGTGCCGATAGGAACAACTGGAAAGGAAGAAGGCAGAGCATGGTGAGAAAATGAAAAACAAAGTGGCTGAAATCCACAAGGAAGCCCAAGAAAAAAGAGCAGTGATAGAAGCCAAACGAGGGGAGGATTTTCTCAAGATAGAGGAGACAGCAGCGAAATTTCGTGCCACTGGATATACACCAAAGAAATTTCTTGGATGCTTCAGCAGTTAACATCCTGAATTGATATTCAAAGGAGAGAAATTTGTTTTTCTTTTCTGGAATTCAGGTTGTTCTTTTTCCCTCTCCCCCTGTTGGTTTGTAATTGTAAGTGAGACATTCTAATATTGGTGTACATCAAATATTCGTGTGTAGATATATATATATATATATGTGTGTGTGTGTGTGTGTGTGTGAAATACATCAATTATATTTTCATAAATCTAGTTGTAATTTCTGGAAATTTGTGAATTCTATTTTATATTGATCTCACCTCCTATAAGTGATTGTGTAAATCAACTTAATTAAATTTTGGATTCATAATATACTGTCTTTATTTATATGTAATTAATAAGTATAAATTGCAAAGAAAAAAGCATTTTTGATGAGAAATTATTACTATGTAAGTCTTTTTTACCATGTCAACTATATATGAACTAAAAAAAATCAGGATGTCAAAAGTCATTAAATTATATATCATGCCACCACATATACAAGAGTGGATATCTGTGATCAGACTGTTAACTTTTCTTTCATATCTGGCCATGGATCATCCTCGAAAAACTTGGTCAAGAAACCTTGCATCTCTGTCCTTCCATGGAACATGACACTATTCTTAGAGCATGAAATTTTCAATATGCCAAAGAGTTCGGGATGGACCTTTGATTTCGTATCCTTAATAAGCGTTGATTCATACCCTCCACTTTTTTTTTCATTACTTTTTTGTCCCTTGATGTGCCTTTTTAACATTCGCGAAACAAAGGTGAAAAACAACAGACAATTTTCTGAGTTCGTTTTCTATCTCAATCTTCAGAGATAGAGATCTGAACTCGGGTTGTCTGTCATTGAACCATAATCTCTAGAAAACCTTTTTTTTTTCTTGCAGTTGGTCAGATTTTCCGCTGTCATTGCTTTTGGATTCATAGTATAGAAGAGGAAAATGGCATTCAGTGGGACAACAGAGAAATGCAAGGCTTGTGATAAGACTGTTCATTTTATTGATTTATTATCAGCTGATGGAATTTCTTATCACAAGACTTGCTTCAAATGCAGCCATTGCAATGGACTTTTGGTGGTATGTATAATAAGTATAATCTTTGGCTATTTTGTAAGAATTTCAAAATTTCATATAATTGCTGATATGACAGTCGAAACTTGATGAATTTTCTGCTTTCATGAAATTGAAATTGGATGGTCACATTTTTCTTTTACAGATGAGCAGCTATTGCTCAATGGAAGGAGTCCTATATTGCAAGCCTCATTTTGAGCAACTGTTCAAGGAGACCGGCTGTTACGCAAAGAAATTACAAAGTAAGATCCCCTTCTTTTCCAAACCAATTCTCTTCACCCCATCGAGCATTAGTATTTTGTTCATTTTTAATTTTGGCTAACATTTTTTTTTTTTTGCTTTTTTGGTGGTTTTTCAGCTGGGAAATCAGACAAGCCAAATGGACTGGTTCTCAAATTCTCTCCCACCATTGCCTTAACTTTATTGTGTATGCCATGCAGATGCCGAGGTTGTTTTGATATAATTAATGTTGATTTTGTTTTACTCGCAGGCAAGGGCTCCGAGCAGAGTTGCATCCTTCTTCTCTGGCACACAAGATAAATGTGGAGTCTGTGGCAAAACTGCGTACCCGTTAGAGAAGGTCTGCTATTACATTCTTGATCTGTCTATTTCTCATTTTGAGCCTAGACAGTTTGTATTAACAGGATGAAAAAACTGATCATTTTGAGCAAAAAATAACAGGTGACTGTGGAGGGAGAAAACTACCATAAATCCTGCTTCAGGTGTTCTCATGGGGGTTGCTTCCTTACACCATCGTCATATGCTGCACTGGATGGCATCCTCTACTGCAAGCCCCACTTTGCTCAGTTGTTCAAGGAGAAGGGCAGCTACAGTCATCTTACTAAGCAAGCTTCCTTGAAGAAAAATTCAGCAGGAGCTTTACTGGAAGGAAAATCTGAGGCTGAATCCGAACCCGAGTCTGAATCCGAATCAAAGCCAGAAGATGAGCCAAAGCCAGAAGCAGAGGCAGAAGAACAATCTGATCAACCTGTTGCACAAGACCAATATTAGAATGCTCACTGAACCTTCAGGGGACATCGGGCTTTATCCCAATTGGGTTTTGGCCTTGTTCTTTTTTCACTCTCGTCTCATGAAGAAGTTCCAGGGGCTCCAGGGTCTCCCAGTTCTCCCACTTGCAAGCAAATTCAACCTGTTGATCCAAATTAATGTCATTCTTATTGATATGGAAATACTATGAAAATGGAAACCAAAATTGTTTTTGTTTTCCTTCATTGAAGAAACATCTTATTTGCAAGCAAGCCTTAACTGTAATGGGGACCTACGGGGGGTTTTGTGTAAATGGTAATCCTTTCAGAATTCGGACTCTCACCCATATGAAATGAGATCAATTCACTTTTTCGTCACTTGAAATGTTTCTCCAATCTCTTATTACTTTCTCCCCCATTGACATCGACAAAACATTTCTGGTTTTATAATTTTGGAAATAAGGGATAACGTTAGGAACAGTTTAAAATATTCAACAGGATCCTTAAATTTTAAAATTTTTTAATAAAATATTTAAATTATAAATTTATTAATTAATATAATATTTAAAAAATATTTATTAATTAATAATTTTAAGAGTAAGTATTATAATATTTAATAAATTAATAATTCAGTAACAAATAAAAATTTTTAAAATTTAAATATTATATTAAATATTTTAATGTTATTTATCGATCACGCGACATTAAGAATGATTAAGGAAAAGAAATAGAATCCAAATTTTTTGAGCCCGAGTTAGGCCCAGTTTCAGGCTCATTTGTTACTATCCATGGATGGCCCTGAATCTAATTCAACTTTGGGTAGTGGGGTTGAGTTGGGTTGCCCCGTTGAATTCAGGCATCAAAACCTTCATTGTAAAAATCAACATGGCCTCTACAGATGGCACGTGTGGTGAGCTTTTTTTCAACAAAAAAAAAAAAAGGGGAAAGAAAAGAAAAGGTGCCACCTGGGCGTCACCTGAGGGATAAGACGTGTTGTTCATCTTCTTCTTCACTACCCAGTCACAGGTAGCCATTCTATCCCCACCAAAGCTCAAATTTCAATCTTGGGCTTCAAAGTTCAACAATTTTACAATGCTACTCAACGCCGTCTGATGAGTTTGCTTTTAATTTCGCATTAAAAATGGACGGTCTATCTTGCGCCGCAGCTACCACCTCCGTTGCTTATTCCTTCTCCGTCAGCAAGTTTTTGCTGTTTCCTTCTGTGTCAGTATCAAGAGTACAAGTGAAAAGAAAGGCGAAAAGGGTTTCTTTCAGGGTTTTTGCGGAGAAAGAAGAACCAAAGCTTGACAAATGGGACCAAATGGAGCTCAAGTTTGGCCGCTTGCTCGGCGAAGACCCCAAACTCACCATTGCCAAGGTACCCTTTTGCTCATTCTTTTTTATTTTTTATATTTTATGCTCAATTTAGAGAATTTAAAAAAAAAACCCATTTTCTAATTGTTAAAAAGATTGCTTCTTTACAAATTTTTTTTTTTTTAATGTTATTGCATTTTGTTTTTTCAGATAATGGGTAGAAAAGCAAACCCTGAAGCATCTTATATTGAAATTGAGAAAGCATTTTATAAGAACAACGGGAAAATAGTGGAAATAGAGGAGGTTCCTTTTGATGTTGACAAGAAATTGCCCACCGCATCTTCTGATGGTTTAAATTTAGTTCGTCCTGTTCCGAACAAGGGAATCAAGTTTCAAGCTGATGATAAGCCAGCTGTATCTGAGATAAAGAGACCAACTCTGTCAGATGGAAAGGCTTTGGGTGGTGCAAGAAGGGGCAGGCTTCCAAATGTTATCTTGAGAAGGCCAACCGTGATGAATGAAAATGATGTAGAAGACAGGCCATCCAGGTTTAGGATGAAACCAAATTTGTCATTGAAAATGGGGAATATAAAAGCAAAGGAACATTATAGTGATATGACTTTGTTGAGAAAGCCGGAACCAATGAGTGTTGATACAAGCATCGATGAGAAGCAAGATTCTGATGATAGTGTTGGGCTGGAGAAAGAGAAAGAAGTGGAGGACAGAATTGGTGATTTTACATTGTTAAAAAAGCCTGAACAGATAAGTGCCAATACAAAGATTGTTGAAAAACAAGAGCAGTTTGGAGATTTAGAAGTTGAGGGGGAAAGGTTGGAGGCAGAGCTAGAAGCTAACATGCTGGCTAATGCAACAGAGAGTAGTTTTGAAGAAGCATTGGAAGCGGGGCATAGCTCAATCCCTAAGAAACGTGAGATAGAGGACGACTCTTTAATTGGTAATGCACCATGTTATGTGATGAAGTTCCTTTTAGTTTAATTGTTGTTTGATTGTGTTGAATGTCACTGTGGTAGGGCTTATTACAACTAAGCACAATGTTAACGACCCCACTCTCCCTCTCTCTCTCTTAGAACACTTATAAGTTTCCTCCTTTTACCTTATCTAAGGAGTTTTGAAACCCTTCAATCTGAAGTATTGAAGTTTATGTTTTTCTTGGCTTTTCAAGGAATGCGGCCAATTGACGTAAGTAATAGGGTGGCTACTGAGGAATCTGGCATTGTTCTCTCCATGGAAGCTGCACTGCAGGGGAAGCCAAAAAGGTGTCAAATTCATTCTTAAAATTAGGACATTTCTTCTTCAGTTGGTAGAGTTGTGACTTGTGATTAACCAATTGCTTTCTTATAGATTAGATCAATCTGTGAAAGAAACATCAGACCCCAATAAAGCAGAAACTGTTCCCACCAACCCTGAAGATTATGGTGATCTCCCCTCTATATCACCTCAGGAGGTCAGCATACGGGACCTTTCCTTGAGTTATTACTGGACATTTTAAAGCATCATTTTGAGATGTCTGATAATTCTTGGTGTCTTATACAATTGTAGGATAGTGATTGGACCAGGGTTGAAGATCTGCTTAAGACAGGACAATGGGAAAAAGTGGAGTTAATAAGCTCTAGCACAAGAGGTTTTGTTGTAAGTGAACCTTTTCCTTCTATCAGGTCTATTTGCTAACATGTACTTCTTTGTGACTTTTGACTATTCATCATTTTTACAGGTATCGTTTGGTTCTTTGATTGGATTTTTGCCTTACCGCAACCTTGTTGCTAAATGGAAGTTCTTAGCTTTTGAATCATGGTTGAGAGAGAAGGGCTTAGACCCATCTGCTTATAAGCAGAATTTAGGAGTCATTCGAAGTTCTGATATAATGTGCAAGAACTCTTTTCTGGATTCAAACTCAATTTCAGAAAATAACCAACAATTTGAGGGAAAACTTTCACCAGATATGAAATTGGAAGATCTTTTGAGGATTTATGATCAAGAGAAGCTTAAATTCTTGTCCTCATTTGTTAGTCAGGTTTGAATAAATTGATTTTTTTTTCTATCTGTCTTCTTTATTACCATTTTGTATATTGATATGGTTAATATTTGCAGAGAGTCAATGTAAATGTGCTAATGGCTGACAGAAAGGACAGAAAACTTATAGTTTCTCTGAGGCCAAAAGAAAAGGAAGAGTTAGTAGAGAAAAAGAGAAAATTTATGGTGAGTAGCTATATTGTGTTTCAATATTTCCGTAGTGTTTTTTTTTTTTTTTGTTTTTTTGCTCGTCTTCAGTGTTTATACTTACTTTTTGTGTAGTTGAAATGTTGTCACTCTTCGCATTAATACCATGGCAGAAAATTGCATTTTAATGTTTAACAATTTTCTTTTCATATAAACTGAGAATTTGAACAAATATTTTTGAATGAAAAACATGACTCTGCTTAATTTGACAAAATAGAAACTTTTAAAGCTCTTTAGCTGTTTCTTGTTGCAGGCCAAGCTTCATGTAGGGGATGTTGTAAAATGCTGCATTAAGAAAATCACTTATTTTGGTATATTTGTGGAGGTAAATGACCTATAGCAACAGGTTTTTAAGCATTGTTACAAATTACAATATCTTGGCAATTACTATAGTGGATGCACTTTCAGAAAGTGAAGTTTTTATGGTCTGGCAACAGTGTCATGTGGATTTTGGCTCCTTTGTTTTGTTTTTATTTTTCTTATGAACTTACGCCTCGTTAGCCTGGAGCCACAGCATCCATTTCTGTGAGATTATATATCCTTTAATTTTTTTTTCAATCAAATCGGGATCTAATTGTACTAATATAGGTTGAAGGCGTGCCTGCTCTGATTCACCAGACCGAAGTATCATGGGATGCCACATTGGATCCTGCATTATATTTCAAAATTGGTCAGGTATTTGAATTTACTGGAAGATTAAAACCACAACAAATTGAGTCTCCTATTCTTTTAAGTAAGGATTGAATGACAAAGACGTAAGACCTGGCAGGGTTAAAAGCTGTTGATCTTCACTGCTTGCTTTTTTTTTGGAGTGTGTGTGTGTGATTTCTTCCTGGTGCTTTGTTTATGTCTGAAATCCATCGAGCTATTTGTTTGTAGGCCATGCTCTTATCTACCTACTCTTTCTAAACCTTGAATTGAATTTTCAGATGATCTTCATGATTTCAGATTGTCGAGGCAAAAGTTCACCAATTGGATTTCACACTTGAGCGTATATTTTTATCTTTGAAGGAGATAACGGTAATCAACAAGCTACTAGGTCTTTGAATTTTAAAATTTCCTCAGTTGTTTTAGGCCATTTTTTATTATGTTGTGATCCTCTTTATTCTCTTTTCTGATGATAGCCAGAGCCACTGACTGAGGCCTTGGAGGCTCTAGTTGGTGATCATGATAACTTAGATGGAAGATTACAAGCAGCACAAGCAGACTCTGAGGTTTTTGTTTATACACTGTGACAGGAGCTTCATATCTTCTATCTTATCCTTTTTGTCCTAGAATTAGGTATTACGTGTTTGCATGGCTAACACTCACGCACTAATATTAAATATTGACAGTGGCCTGATGCAGAATCACTTATCAAAGAATTGCAACAGATTGAAGGGGTTCAATCAGTTTCAAAGGGCCAATTTTTCTTGAGCCCTGGTTTAGCTCCAACATTCCAGGTATGATAGCTTCAACATATCAACTAATGCAGTATGCTAAATTTGGTGAAGATTAAATACAATAATTCACTTGAAATGTATCAGCTCATATTGTGCCTCTGGTTTTGGAGTTCTTATTGATTTGTGGATTATCGGTTAGACGTTTGTATGCTGTACCTATTAGTACTTGTCTTTTTAATGAAATTTGAGAAGGAATGATCTAAGATACCTTCTAATATGCATTCTACACATTTAAAAATTCTACAACTGATCGAATAATAATGTGTTGTTTTCTTCTTCCATGGTTGCCGTGATACTTTGGGTGGTAAATTCAAAAAATAGATTTATTTTCTTCTTAGTTTTCTTCCCTTGACAAATTACAATACCACCATGACCATAAGTCTTCTTCTCTAGATCTAGGTTGGATTTTTAGATGCCAAAAGCTTTCCATCTTTCAATGCGGCACTTATTACCAACTTCATAATAGAAGCCTCTGTTGATTTAAACCTTCCCATCAGTTGAGCCCTTGAATTGATGGTGAGTAAATGAATTATGTACTTAATAGTTGTGATCTTTGTCAAAAAGCTGTGTAATGTAGAACGGGTATGAAAAATAGGGTGTAGAGCAAAAATTAGAGGAGAGAGAGAGAATTCTGAATAATAGTTCATTCTTCATCAAAAACTTGCTGAAGCTGAAAATAATATAGGTATTTATAGGGTACTTCCAAACCCTAGTGCTGGTAAAGCATCGGGACTATATAATAATCTAGAACACCCAAAATCTACATAATATACAAAATTATTAAATAATTCTTAAATAATACAATCTTTTGATCAGCATCATCTGTCCTGCATGACTGTGCCATCTTTTAGGTGCCATAACTTTTGCTATCTTTCAATTCTAGGCTTCATTATGAACTTCATAATAGAAGCTTCCATTGGTTCAAACCCTGTCATTTGTTTAGGTTGTGGATATGGGACCATGCTCTTGAAGAAATTGGTCAGTTTCTTCTTTTTAGACTTCATTTATGAATTATCTACTTCCTGTCCATCTTTTGGTGCAGGTTTATATGGCATCCATGTTTGAGAATCAATATAAGTTACTTGCTCGATCAGGAAACAAAGTACAAGAGGTAAAGTTTTATATAATCTCATTGCTCTGGTAAGTATCCAGCATAACCCTCAATTGGAGGATTTAATCTTTCCAATTGAAAACTTCCCCCTTATAAATATATACCATTTAAAAATTTCGAAGCACAGATTAGTTGTTTGGTTTTATTTCAGTTTGACTCTCTGGAATGTTATAGATTTTGAACCTTGTGAAATTGTTAGGTCTAAATTCCCAACACCGGTAAAGTGTGATTTTTCAAGTCAATACTATAGATCTGTAACAATGGCATTTTTTACAAGGCAATGACACAAGGATAAGCAAAAAAAAAAAAAAATCCCAAAAAGGCAATACGAATGTACTTAAGACTTTTGAGGACCTTCTGTGAAAATTCTTTTTTTCCTATTTCTCTAGATGTCTAGTACGACCTTTTTTCCTGAATAAATTTAACCTTATTATTATATCTAAAATGCTGTAAACAATGGAGATATGGATGACAACTCTTATGTTTTGGCAGGTCATTGTTCAAGCATCATTGGATAAAGAAGAGATGAAATCTACAATTCTATCATGCACAAACAGATTGGTGTAGGATTCTTGTTTTCGGTTAACTCGCTTCTTTTTCATCCTTTTGATATCCCACTCCTAATTTGGAACTCCAACTTTGATCCCAAAAGGAACTTTTGGCAGGAAGGTTAAGAGAGAGAACAGAAAGCATGGGGGAGCCAGGGTGGGGGATTGTTTGATTTTCTTGTTCACCCTCTGTATCACTATAACGGCATTCTTTCGTCCTGTATGCAATTTGTTTTTTTACACCAAGGTTCAACTTACATAAACATTGAATTAATGTCTTATTGAATTTCACTGTGAACAGCCACCTCTAATGCTATTTAAGTTTGAAGGCTTTTTTAGGATGCAAATGCCACATTTCTTGGTTTAGTTTGTTCAGGTTTTGTTCATGAAACATTTTTTTTTCCCAATAGGCTTTTCTCTTCACATCATTGAGATCCATTAGTTTTTGCAATGAGATAAATGGCAAAGTGACGAAGATTTCAAGTCATTGCTGGATTGTCCTTACTGGCATTAAAGTCAGCAGGGACAAGTTTTCCCTTTGAGTCTACGTTTCAGCTTAAAATGAATTGAATTTGCAGGCCAAGGTGACTTAGTTGCTTCTGATTTCTACTTCTGGCCCCCTTCCCATCTGTTATGACAGCAAAATGACAAATTTGAAATAATGCAAATTATTCAACTGAGTTTCTTAATCCATAAAAATTTTAAACAGGGAATTAAAATACAATATGATAATATAGTACAATAATAAAAAATTAAAGTGTAAATTAAAAAAACTCAACAGTTGGAGTGGTATTAAAATACCAAAATTGATTTGACAAAAAGACAAGTCATACGTGGACTCTTGTCCTAAGCAAAATCTAATAACTAAAACCGTCAAAGTTGTAAGATCTGACTGGTAAAAGACTTTGTAAGATACTTTCGTTGTTTCTAGATATCTCGTCTGAATCCTGATGATCTAGCCAAAACAATCTTTGCTTTCTGTTATCTGAAAAAACGTGAGCCATGTGCATGTCCTTTGGCCGAACTACCCTTCATTCTCCCTTCTGCCTTCAGCCCTCACATTTCTCTGTCCCCAGCTAGACAAGCCCCCCCCCCCCCCCCCCACTCCCTCTGTCTCTTTTCTTGCAATGCAAGTGCCATATCCGAGGTCCTCAAGAAACTTCTAAAAGTTCTATTCTTTTTCTTTCTATATAAATTTACAAAAATCATTGTTCTAACTCAGAAAGTCTTGGAAACCCATTTTCACCAGTTTTTTCTTTGTAAAGTTTGTAACTCTGAAGGAGAGTGAAAATGGGTATGGGAACAAGCAATTTTGTGATCAGATGGATCAACTTTCTTACAATGGTATGCTCTTCTTTTTGGCTCTTTTTTTTTTTTCTTACTATGGTATCCAAATGGGTTTGTTTTTGTTTTATGGTTCACAACGCCAGCTTTAATTGTGCTCATTCCTAGATTGAAGTTTCTTTTTCATGTTGGGTTTGTCCCTTTTTTTGGTTTCTTAGTGATTCTGTTATTTTTTTCAATTTGGTTGGGTGTTTTTGGCTACCTCATTGTAAAAATTAAAAAAAAAAAACATTTGTAATGTAAGTTAATATATGCTCGCTTTTTATACTTTTCATTGTGCAGCTCTTAGCTATAGCTGTTGTAATTTTTGGGGTATGGATGAGCACTCATCATGATGGATGTCGAAGATCCCTTACTCTCCCAGTCTTAGGCCTTGGTGCCTTCATTTTTATAATGTAAGTTTTGATCACTCTGAAGTTTATGATTACGCTAATTCCTATTTTTGTATTAAAAGTAACAATGACAATTCTTTTCTTTGAATTTTAGATCCATAATCGGGTTCCTGGGGGCAGTGAAGAAGAACACCATTCTGTTGTGGATTGTATCCTTGTGAAATTTTGAGTTTTCAAGATTTTTGCTGCTTCTGTTCTTTCCTAATTCCCTTGTTTGGACTGCCCTTGACTCATTTGCTTGCAGTACTTGATTATGTTATGCATCATTCTGGTGGCGATCCTGGTATTCACAGTGTTAGCGTAAGTATTTTTAGCTGAAGCTAGTTTCCTGTTCATATTCAGTCAAGACATGCAAGGAGAATGAAAGGATTACTGAGGTTTTAATCTTTGTGGCATTTCTAGTTTTGGTTGCAACTGAGTTTTTTATGTGTGATTAAAACCAAGATTTTCTTAGAGTGCACTTGGATGCCTGGTGGGAGGGACTCCCATTTTGTCGTGGGTGCCGTTTTATGAATGGACCCTGCCACCATGAATCCAAAGCCGTAGGGGCCCTTAGTGTATTTTTTAGGTCAGGTATTAATTAGATGCCTCGTGTTATTAACTAAATGATACTTCTAGATGAAACTGACGAAAAGTATGGTTTTTAGGGAAATGTACAAGATGATTAAGTTTTATGACATGGTTTTCCGGCAAAATAGCTAGTTGTGTCTTAGAGCTTATGTGATTCTATTATCCTAACTTCAGTCTTCCAGAGCAATAAATAAAAGTAGAAAGTGGATAATTTAGGTTGACTGCTGTGTTCTGCTATTTTTTTGTTCCTACGTGCTGTACCCTTTAATTTGTAAGGCTACTTTCACTTTATTTGCATTAACTTTAAGCCCTGTATCACTATATGTTTTAATGAGACATTCTCAGGCTTAATTTGTGTGTATCATTAAAGGCCTTTCAGTGTCCCTACTTTTCTAAGAGCTTTCATGTTAAACAAATTGATTTTATGCCATTTTTTTTTTGTAGGTTCATTATAACAAATAATGGATCTGGTCACAATGTGTCTGGATTGAGGTAAGAAAACATGCACTTCATTGGAAAAATTTCTCATTGCGCCTATGTTTTTGCTTTTGGGTGACAATTCCCACATTGTAGTATTTTCTTTCAGTCTCTATGCAATTTGTACCACAAGAAACTGAAAAACTATCTTCCACCTCTCTCCATTCTCTGCATGCACTTGGTGCAGAGGCTTACTTCATGTTCGTACAAAAAATTATATGTTCCAAATCTGTTTTTCTCATCCAGTGGTTGATTTTTGCACTACTTCTCTGAAATAAATGTGTCATCATTGTTCCATAATTCAGCTTAGTGAGGTGGGAGTATGACCCTAGTCTCTCTTATCTTCTTTGCTTATCAGATACAAGGAGTATCAACTTAAAGACTATAGTCCATGGTTTCTTAAGCAGGTGAGGCTTTCGGTTCGTTGGTGATGCAATTTCCACATTGTTTAGCTACAATTACCCATCTGTCTTTGTTTCTGTCAGCTGAATAATACTGATAATTGGAAGCACTTGAAGAGTTGTCTTGTGAAATCAGAGGACTGCAACAACCTAGCAAAACAATACAAGGTCTACTTTTAAACTCCTGAGTTCTATTTGTTTCTCTGACATTTATTCTAATGTTTTCGACTCTAATTTTCAGACTCTTAAGCAGTATAAAATGGCAAAACTGACACCTATTGAAGCTGGTTGCTGCCGACCACCATCTGAGTAGGTCTTTTTTGTTGTTTTTTGGTTGCGTTGGTTCTGTGCGATTGCAACTGTATTTAATCATGGTTTATGCAGTGCAGTGAAGCTTATTCCATTCATTTATTCATTTAATTAACGAATAATTTTTCTTGACATTCAACTTGATTCACAGCTGTAGTTATCCTGTTCTCAATGCTTCATACTATGACTTGAGCTTTCATCCAATTAGCTCCAATAAGGACTGCAAGCTTTACAAAAATTCTCGGACCGTTAAGTGCTACAATTGCGATTCTTGCAAGTAAGCATTTTGATTTTCCTGCGTTCCATCCAATCTATTGTACAAATTCCTCACTGCCATTTGCTTTCTTTCAATCGCCTTTCAGGGCCGGCGTTGCACAATACATGAAAACCGAGTGGAGAGTTGTTGCCATCTTTAATTTAGCACTATTTGTTGTCTTGGTAAGATTCTGTTTACCACTTTCCGACCATCTTCAGATTTCTTTCCCGGCTGACACGAAAACAGCAAGAACCTGTCATTTGATTGGTGACTTACGTTTTCGGCACTTATTGTGTCAAGGCTAACTCCTATATATTATGTTTTGCACTGCCAGTCAATTATATACTTTGTGGGCTGCTGTGCAAGACGAAATGCTGCTCGGAGCCAGTCAAAAGTTTGAAAAGAAAAGCGTTGGACTGAAGGAAAAATGGAGGAAAGAAGAAGTTTGATTTGAGGGGGCTTGGAAGTTCACAGCTTAAGCTTATATTTGAAGTGGCATAAGCCTAATGGCAATCACGTAAAAGTGTTTGTTGTTCTGACGCGAGGGTGAAAAATCATTATTTTTTTCTACTATCTATAATTTAATTTAATGGTTCTACTTTTTCAGTACGGATTTAACCGCATTTATTGGGCTTTCAAGTCGTTTATCAAATGAGCGTGAAACTTGTCCCACATCGAAAGAGATGTTACTTAACTGGAGACAAACTTCTTCCTTTTTGGTCAATATAGTGGAAAAAATGTCCTTGACGACGTCGTATTTTGGCATAAATAGAAAAATCCATCTTAAAAATCGGAACAAATTCTCCTCTCCCTAAACCCTAAACCCAACAATGGTCTTCCTCCAGCGCTCCAAAGCCCTCTCCGTTCTCCTCCGAACCCGTGTTTTCATGCGAAACATGGGAGGCGGTCCACGGACCTTTCCCGGCGGCCTAAACAAGTGGCAATGGAAGCGGCTCCACGAGAAAAAAGCCAAGGAGAAAGAGAAGAAACTCCTCCACCAAGAGAAGCAACTTTACGAATCCAGAATCCGGTCTCAAATCCGGGCCAAACTAGCCGGTAAACCCGACCCGAGTTCAAATCCAACCGAGTATAACCCCATGAGCCCCGACGATCACATCAAATCCCTAGCTGATAGATTCATGAAGCAAGGGGCAGAGGATTTGTGGAACGAAAACGACGGCCCATTGAAATCAGAGGAACAGGAACATTCACGATTTATTGAAACGGCAAGGAATCGACAATCAAGATTACTTCATTCGCCGCTTGATCTGAAGAGTCTAATTGCTGATGAACGTAGAGAAAATGCTAAATTAGGTGTCGTAATTAGTAGTAATTTTGTTAAGAGTAGAAGCTATTCAGTTCAAAGTGACAGGAAATTCAGGATGAATGAGAGTTCCTTTGGTGGGATTCGGTCATGTTTCGATTCAAAGTACGATTCAATGAACCTTTTGGGGCGTAATATAGCAAATAGGACGTTGAAGAAAAACTCGCATTCTTCTAATCAACATGAATCTGATTTTGTTTCGAATGATCATTCCTTGAGGTGTTTTGGCCGTGGTGATCCTGGTGGTAACCGTGAGAATGTGAATTTTGAGAATATTAGGAAGTTTATAAAGAAAAGGAATAGTTTGGGGAGGAGGAGGTTTAGGAGGAATGAAAGCTCATCGAGTGATGATGAATGGGATTCGGATTTGGAAGATGAAGCTGAAGGAGTGGAGGGTTGGAGGGATGTTAGGAAGTTGGGGAGTAGTGCATCGTTGGGGAAGTATGATGTGAAGATAACAAAGAGAGTTCCACTAAAGGAACTTGAGAAGGAGAGTGATTTTTCGGAGCAAGTGGAGTTGCTTAGGAAGGAGTTGGCTAAGAAGAAGTTGGCTGAAAATGGAGAGAAGAAGGGGGAGGGAGAAACGATTTATAGTAAAAAAAGGTAAGCTAAGATGTTGGACTGGTTTTTCTTTTGTTCTAGTGAGAGAATTTGAATTATAGATGTATTTATGGTTTTGATGATAAGAAAATTGGTGAATCTGTGGGTTTTTGTTTCTACAGATTTGATGACTGTGGTATATCCCCATTGACAGTCAAGGCACTTTCTGCAGCTGGATATTTTCAGATGACTCGAGTACAGGAGGCAACTCTTTCTGTTTGTCTTGAGGGTGTGTCTTATTGCTTACTTGGTCATTGTGTGATTCTTTCATCAATTTCATGGAACTTACTGTGTCATTCCGTGAGTCTTTTAGAAGCTTGCTCTGGTTTTCTATTTTACATTTGTTTAGGGTAGTAAGTTGTTCATGCTTTGTGCCTTGGTAGCCTTTCATGCACATAATAGGTACTTCCACTGGACTATTAACATTGATGTGGAAGTTCTTATATTGTCAAGTATGTATCACATTTTGGAAGCTCAAAATGTGACATAAGGTATTAGAGTCACTAGATGTGTAGAAGATGCAGGATTAGGTCTTATAGAAAGGTGATTTGAGGAAGGCATACAAACTGTAGGAATTGGAAGATAGGGTAACAAAGAATTAACACTACAAATTATCACTGTTGCTTTTATGCCTGGGCCTACTGTTCTATTCTTGCATGATATGTTACTAGTGTCACATGGTTCTATGTGTATAAAAGTCTTTCCTTGTGTGTAGTGCTTTCCCAATAGTTATGGTAAATTGCTTTCTTTAACTACATTGCCATTCATGTTATATTCCTATAAACATGCTGCTCTAATTTGTGTGATACAAGTCAAACATTCTAAATGACTATCCTCGTTTTAATGTGGAGCAGGCAAAGATGCTTTGGTTAAAGCTAAAACTGGCACAGGAAAAACTATAGCTTTTCTGGTACACTACTATTTCTTAGTTATTATTAATGACTTATAGATTCTTGTTCTTTCTTCCAATTCTTCTTTTAAAGACAAACAGCTTCCGGCAATTGAAACAGTTTTGAAGGCTGCTAGTACTAATACCGTTCAGCGGGTGCCTCCGGTATTCGTTCTCATTCTTTGCCCCACTAGAGAACTTGCAAGTCAGCTAGCTGCTGAAGCAAATGCACTGCTGAAGTATCATGATGGCATAGGTGTCCAGACTCTAGTTGGAGGAACACGTTTCAAAGTTGATCAGAAACGCCTCGAATCAGACCCATGCAAGGTTAGCCTATGTTTTAGGCCTTAGCCTTATAAATATTTCTAGAATCTTCCACATCCTAATGCTAGAGGATAAACTTTTTCTAATTAGCTGGGTTGAAACTTTCTGCAGATAATGGTTGCAACACCTGGAAGATTGCTGGATCATGTTGAGAACAAGTCAACCTTGTCTGTGCGTTTGCTGGAATTGAAAATGCTTATACTTGATGAAGCTGACCACTTATTAGACCTGGGATTTCGGAAAGATGTTGAGAAAATTGTTGATTGTTTGCCCCGTCAAAGGCAGTCATTGTTATTTTCTGCAACTATTCCGAAAGAGGTTAGATTGTTCATTGTCCTTATATTTGTTGTAGATAAGGCCAGTTTCCTTGCATGAATCAACTCAAATATAAATTGTGCTTGATTATGCAGGTTCGTCGAATATCTCAGCTTGTTTTGAAAAGGGAACATGCCTTCATTGATACAGTGGGTCTGGGCTGTGTAGAAACTCATGATAAGGTATAATTGGCGATAACTGCACACATTTACTATCGGGGAATACAATTAGGCTCATGCTTCTTTTTAAACAATGGAATTTAGACAGCTTGGGTACTTTAAAAATTTTTTATTGATTAATTGAATTTTTCTGAAGTCCTTTGCTTAATACTTAAACTGGATGTAATAATTTGTATCAAACGTATTGGCAGCAGTGATGTTATATGCAGAATCTTCCTTGACGAATGCAGGTTAAGCAATCTCTTCTTGTTGCACCACATGAATTGCATTTTCAGATAGTTCACCAGCTTTTGAAGAAGCATATATCTCAAGCATCTGATTACAAGGTAAAATGTTTTAGCCTCTGGATTTTGGTAGTTGCACAAATTTCTTGAAACCTAACTGTTCTATCACTCAGGTCATTGTTTTCTGTGCAACCGGGATGGTAACATCACTGATGTATTTGCTTCTTAGAGAAATGAACATGAATGTTAGAGAGATCCATTCCAGAAAACCTCAACTTTATCGAACTCGTATAGCTGATGAATTCAGGGAATCTAAGAGACTAATTCTTGTTACATCTGATGTATCAGCACGAGGAATGGATTATCCTGATGTCACTTTGGTTATTCAGGTACCTTTGAACCTGAAACTCAAGCATATAGTAGCTTGTTAAGCAGTTCAATTTTTTTAACCACATATGCATGCATAAATACATATATGCTTTGCCTTTCAAGTATGATGTCATTGGACCATGATGAAAAATCCCGGAAATGGTAAGATATCTTGCAGCTTTTGAGTTAACTAGATGGTTTATGAAGCTGCTGAAAGTAAAGAAACATTCTGGTCGTGAATTACATATCTTGTTTATATAGACCACTCTATTTTTTTAATAAAATAATATTTATGAATGATTTTACTGCTACCAGGTGGGAATTCCTACTGACCGAGAGCAATATATACACCGCCTAGGAAGAACAGGACGGGAAGGCAAGGATGGAGAAGGTATCTTATTGATTGCACCCTGGGAAGAGTTTTTCTTGGATGAAATTAAGGAATTGCCTCTAGAGAAGCTCTCTTTACCACATTTGGATCCGGATGTTAAACAACAGGTCTGCACCTAAACTAATAAAGTATTACTCTTTATGCTTCTATCAAAAGGATCTTTTTAATAGGTTGATGCCATATTCTGAAAATATATTTTGATTTTTTCTATTAACAAGTTTTGATGAAGATCCCATCCACACTAACTGGTAAACTCTGTTGGTTGTTGTGCCAAGGAGCATTAAATCCTCCCTAATACCAAGAATTAAGTGATTTTAACATGACGGACAAGGGCTTCCACAATTGCCTAACTCGGGAAATTGTTAAAATATGGATCAGACCTACCCCACCCCAGTTTTGTAGCCTAGCTATTGGATCTGAAAAAAATAGCCTAATTTTGACTTGGAAATAAAAGGGAAAAGGAAGTTTATTTCTATCTTTATCATTGAATCATTTTCAGGGAGACTGCATCTTAAGTTTTTTTTTTGGGGGGGGGGGGGGGAATGAGATGGTTGATAGAAAAGAAAATATTGCATTGATATCTCAATTTCATTTAAAACTTGGGGTTTGTGTTGTGTCTGATGGTCCTCTTATAGCCGTCAGTTACAAAAAAGTTTGTAATGCTTGGAATCCTGTTGCAGCTGGAGTTTTCAGTGGCAAAGATTGATGGTAGTATCAAAGAAGCAGCATATCATGCTTGGCTCGGTTATTATAACTCAATCAGAGAAATTGGCAGAGATAAAACTACACTTGTTGAGCTGGCCAACCAGTTTTCCCAGTCAATTGGCTTGCAAAGACCTCCTTCCCTTTTCAGGAAGACAGCTCTAAAAATGGGTTTGAAAGGTATACCTGGAATCCGAATCCGAAAATAGCAGTGACTGAAGTAGTTTAATTTAAGTTGTTGAGGATGAATATTGTGGATCAAGAACATAGACAACTGCTACTCAATCTGGCACAAAGAACATATAAGTCTAGCTCCTGCCTTTTTTTTTTTTTTTTCTTTTTCCCTTCAATTTGGCGCGACTATCTTCTCACATTTGTACTTGCGCTGAAAGGTCATTCTATTGAATTGCGTCAGTGATGCGTATGTTCTAGGATCTTGGGTTCTTTATGAAGCACTGCTGTTACATCTCAAAGATGTGCATTTGTACATCAAATTGGTATTCTAAATGTGATCGTTGCTTTATAATTTTACTTTGTGTTTTGGTGTCCATTTCCGCTTTACAATCAAATTTCCATATCTTACATGCTTCTTCCCAATTTCCCTTCTCTGTCACTGCTATTCTTTTTTTAATATATGTTTTTGCTAGTTATAAACTGCAATTTAGTGCATGTTCCATCGAGAAAAGTATGTTTGAACCATTTCTTGGGGGATTTCCCGTGATGTTTCCTGAAACCCTTGGGTTTTCACTTTACAATCAATGTTGCTTATGAATAATGGTCTCTCACAATCCAACATGATCGAGCAAAATAAAGAGGAAGAAGGCCTATGCCACTATATTCTTTATCTACGCAGCTGGAACAATCATTAAGTTAAGCAGTTCACAATCCAATCCTTTCATGTTCTTGATAGCCGACGGTGAAAACTATATCTTCAACCAATTTAAAATGATCAAAGCATTGACTTCCAACCTCTTAAAATGATGCTTTCAGACTGTTGTTTTACTCCTATGAAAGTAATTAATCTGATCTAATTGTAATCGAAAGAAAAACATAAATGTCATGACTTTGGATTCAGGCAGACAAGAAATGATTCACAAGGTAATGATGTCCTTTGAGGAAATGTGCGACTGCTGACTGCTCCTTCCACATCGCTAGCAGACATTAGGACTTGGAAACAGTTTGAACCCCACTCCCTCTTGTTATCCCCACTTGTTATCTTTGCGGGACAAAAGTTAGGCAAAGTTTACTTCGGGAAAATGCTTGTTCATGCATATTTCCTTTTTCAGATGATGCTGATGCCTGGGGCACAATTAAGTTTAAGATCAGATAATCTACAATCTGGTCCAGGTTATTTCTATCCTCCAACGGATACACTACCAATATCTTAGAAGCAATTACATGTGATGAAGAAAACTATTGGGAACAGCAATCGTGCCTGCCATTTGTCGATGCCATATGAATTCACCTTAAGAAGGATCCATCAATTATTAATGTTAAGCTCCAAATGAATTATCAAAACCCAAACTGGCATTAAGATTGATCAGAATTAATGTAGTGTCAACGCCTACTACAGCCCCTTAGAAACGGCTTTTCAAGTTAGCACTCCAGCAGATGCAAAAGGACCAATGTAGCCTGTAATCTATGCTATAATATCTGTTTCCTTTTGATCACTTTTATCTTTCACAACCTCGAGCTGTTAAGCCATCCAAAGAGCAGCCTTCCACTATAAAAACTTGCACCAGATTTAATAAATGGAATGAGAATTTTTGTATATGCACATACTAAATTCAACTACATGTTATTATATAAATAGTTTGAATTTCTGCTGTTCTTGGTATTTGCAAATAATGTAATGAGATTTACGCTGAATTAACTTCAATTTTTTAGTAGAAACAGTCTGAATTTTCAGTTGTTCATGTAAGTTGAGGGTCATATAGATATCAGAATTTAGGATGGCAAAGTTTTTTTTTTTTTTTTCCAAAGTGGATGGCAAAGGATTATTCATCAATGCAAGTGAAGAAACAAATCAAAACTACAACTATTTTCCTGCTGTAGTTTTGGGTGGGAGTAATGAATGACATGATGGCAGTTTCAGCCAAGCATGAAGGGTATTTCTGCCATTACAATAGAACTAATTGCTAGTTTTGCCTATATCTTTAGTCTTCACCACTAGTTGCTTGTTGTCTTGATCTCATATTAATAGACTTCATACCTGCCTCTTTATTAAGTGAACAAACTCAATTAGATAAACTTCTTCTAGTTCTTCTCATCATCTTTTCTGCCCTTTCTCATCATTAAAATCATGAGGATTTGGAATCCCAAATTCTCATTTATGTTCTTTATGATCATACTAGCCACCATCCACCTCTCAAGTTGCCGCTACAACCATAGAAGCCTGAGCAGTGAAGCTGAGCAAACAACCAACACAGAATTCTCCACCAGGCATTTCCCTGCCAAGTCTCCTGATGCATCCAGAGCAGAAAAAAGTCAACCAATTTATGAAGTTTCCTACAGAACAATTCCAGGGGGACCAAACCCTCTCCACAACTGATATATCTATTTTTTTGCAGATCTTGAATATGTATTAAGTTATACAAATTTTTGGCCGCTTATACTTCAGTTCCTTGTTTTTTTGTTTTTTCCTTTTCTTCAAAGTTGTATAATAGGTACAGTCTGGCCACAACTGCAATTGTACTTTGTTTGACTCTCATAGATGGTAGTCATGTAATGTAAATAACTGGTTTTTTGTTTCCATGAAGCTGCACTGTTTCAGGGTAATTAAATGGATCATTTATTTTTTGCAGAATAAATTTGCTCTGCAATTAAGAATTACAGGCAAGGAAGTCATTTGCCAAGCCAGAACTTGGTGAAGAAGAAGTAACCAATAATGCTAAAATTGATAATGGCCACAGACTAAAAGTACTAAAATTTTTAGGAAGAACTGTTGAATTGTTTTAGCATCATCATGCTAACTCATTTTTTGGATTTATTATTTGAGTTTCTGCAGAGCGTGAATGGTGGGGCAATTTTGGCTCATATGCAGTTCAAAAAAACAATAAACAAGAAGAATTAGAAACAATATTTTAGTTGCTAATTTATACATCTTCATTGTTTATAGTTTCAAGGGTCAAACCCACTTTTTGGTGGCTTTCTTTGATGTTACTTCCATGATTAAAAAAAAAAGAAAGGGGATCCTGGAAAGTTTTACTTATCATTCATGTAATTGCTATCAATATGATAAAATTCTGTTTTCTATTATATAGAGGAGTTGGATTAGCAAGCAAAGCAGTCCAGCCAAAACTACAAGCTCACAGATGAAAAATATCAGTCAATGGGACCTCGAAATCTATGAATTTAAAATCAGGAAGAAATACCCAAAAAGGAAAGGCATATTTATATGGGACTTAACAGATGGTGTTGTCCAAAACAAGTTGCTTTCATACAAGAATTTTGTAGAAGAGACGTATCGAGCACCTGGTACTCTGGTCCTGTCGCAAGCTACATGTGCATTACATTTTTGACTGAACCAAGAAAATCAGAGTTGAAACATAACCATCTATCATGCATGCTAGCTGTTTTTTCAGATGTTGGGGGTTTATGGGTTAATATAACCAGATGCTCAAAGATGAATCGTCACTCATTGAAAAGAGACAAAACAAGGGATTGGGGGGTCCCGTAGTTGCATAATATTAACGCTTAAGTGATCAAGAAGTCATATTATGGAAGTACATGATCTTTTACATGGTCTCAGCTTTTCTGACACTTTTCAAACGATGAACAGTAACTTAAGTTTTTCTCTCTCTGATGGATAAAATGCAAACCCAGATCTCACACCAAAACCTTGTCAGATTTGACTTGGGTCATAAAAATTAGCAGAACTTTCAAACCTGACTAGCAGCATCTCTGGAGAGCTGTTGGCACTTCCATTTTCCTTCTGAATATAAATACAACCCCCAGATATGATTGGAAATATATTTCAGGCATAAGGATCGGTTATGGAAGATTTAGATGTTGGTCCACATAGAAGTGAGGAAAATAAGTTAATCTTTGAACATTTTAAGTCACCAATTAACCTTAGCCTTGATATAAAAATTGGCTGAATAAACATAGAGATATTAGCATTTGATGATATAATGGATAACCCTATTCTGAATCTAGTTTTCCTTGGATAATGGTAGAAGCCAATAAGCTTTTCATTTTACAAACGAGTAAAGGATATGAAATTTCAACATCAAACAATAAGAATGTAACTACTATTATTATCATTAGAAGAAAAGTATTGGATAAATTGTGTTCCTATATAAAAAATATATATAAATAAAAATGAAAACAAAGAATTGAGTTTACTCCAGGCCAATTGCCCTCATTTCAATTTAGTAGGATTCACGAAGTCTACATCTTTGAGTGGAATAGCATTCTCGAGAAGAGATAGGGGAGTAGTAATGATTGTTGGAGACTAGTAGTTTATATACCACATATATATAGGTTTCATTGTACTGGTTTAACCATTAATAACGGTTAGAACCCTTGTAAATACGGCAGCAGCCCAACTGACTCCAATGCAAATCAGTTTCTGGCTTCAAGTATTTTTGAGTTTCTGGAAAAGTTCTGGAAGATGTGCATTTGTTAGCTTTGCCTTCTTGGAGAACTCCTTGTTTTTCTGCCTGGGTTTGGGCTTGGAGGAAATGCCCTGCACTTGTGCAGCAGCCCTCCTTTTTGCTGTGTTGGTAGCAGGTTTCATTCCATTCTTCTGGAGATCTTTCTCAATGTCAAGCATGTCCCGGGGCAATTCGATAGACCGAAATAACTCTTTAAGGTCAGCATCCACCTTAATAGGTACCCTGGGATCGTTTGGGAAGGCAATGTCCTCCTGAGAGTCAAAATTCGATAGCAGCCAAATCTGACCGGAAGCTTTCAGAGCCTACAATAAGAACAGCTATAAGCAGCTATGGTAGCAGAAACTACTAAACTTAAAAGCAATGTTTAGATTAATTCATGCCTACTACAATATATTGTTAAGTAGGAGAAATTAAGAAGCACTCATAACAAGTAGATTTGTGAGCAAAAGGCTTTTCTTAAAAGCCAAAACAACCTAGGTAAAATAAGAATAACCAACAATTAATGAAACAGTTGGGAAAACCTCGTAAAACCAACTCTGAAGTCAATGTCCCTTTTACAAGCAGCTGATAACCCAAAAAAGTATCCAAGCATAGTTTCAATGAGAAATTTCTCAATAATACTTACCAAAAGTGAGTTCAATTAAAAGTTAGTGAAGCATTTAATTGCATAATACCCTTCGTACATTTCAAAACTTAAAGCCTTTCAATTCTATATTATATGCATAACAGCTCATCACATCTCCCACTTTATGTACAGTTATAAATCATCTGTGGGTACAAATAAGGTGTTGCACCCTTTGCTTTTACAACATTTAATTGTTAGAAAACAAAAAATAAATAAAGAATCAGATTAAAAGAAACTAAAGTATGAAGGTACTAAAGGCTTCAATAAAATTATGTAAATGAAAGTCAAAATCAAGACCCATCATGGAAACTTATGTATGGGCGTAAAGGTAAATGGAAAATGAAGGAAAATTTGCAACTCTATTATACCTGCAAGTCCTCCATCACATTTGGGTACGCATCCTTGAGATCAATAACATCAATACCTTCTATATATTTCCGAATCAAGACAAGAAGTTCATTCTTGTTTTTTGCATCATGCTTGGCCTGCAAGGGTAACGTATACAAAAATGTAATCCTCTATGAAGGAGACTAAGCAAAAGGGATAATGGTTATTATGATATAGATGCTAAAACCAAAAAAGAAGTCTATCAAAATGTCACAGCAGCAAATGTCACCTTGTAAGAGAAGCGCTTCCCATCATAGTTAACTTTTGGGTTTTTCCTTAAGCCCTCAAAGACATCTTTGTTGCCGTTCACATCAACATAACATGCTTCATTTATCTGCTCTGGTGTGAATGCTTTTCTTGTCTGCAACGACGAATAAATACCTTATAAGCTTTGAGATAGTTAAAAATTTTCAGCTCCTTATGAAGCACTATTGTTCATTCAATAATCTGACAATTATGTCAACAGAAACAAAGATACGTGTAAAAAGTCCATACTAACAGCAACTAACATTTTTTCAAAGATCTCACAAAACAAATACCATATATAATCTCAAGTCTCCGATGTTCTTTGATGTAAAATCAAACATTATGATAAAATCAAACTGCCAACATAACTACTTGAGGAATCAAGGATACAGCAGAATCCCACACCTGGACTTCCCTTACCAGAGGGTAGAAATAGCATTTCCAACAAAGCAAAGAACACCTACCATTTTCAACTCAAAAAGGCTACAAATGCATTCAACAATGCTTCTGTAGGAACCTACTGGCTGCCATCCCAAACTATGACCCCAAAATCACTTGCATCCACTGCTCCAAAGAAATTGCTAAAACATTTTAGAAATTTGCTTGCCTTACCAACCATTGTAAAACTACCACAACCTCAATGGGACAAGACTAAGAGATGAAGATAGCAGTAGAAGGCACATGCTAATCAGGATCATTATCAGAAGCAAGAAACTCTAAAAAACTAAAGTAGGCACAGAACCAAACAAAAGGATTTCTCCTTTATCTCATTCTTGTAAGCACATTGCCATCAATTTCTCAATAAAAGCAAATTTTCTCCATAACAGATACATCCTCTGAACCAGCAAACCATGACTTCAGCAAGGATACTCGCAACAATAAAGATCATTTTACAAATGTTAACAAGGTATAATACTCGAATTATTTGCATCAAGCGCATAAAGATTAAATTAAATTAAAAAGGGCTACAAGAACCTGATACAGAATGTCAATAACACGCTTCATCTGAGCTCCAACAGGAGCTTTCCGAATGCTGTTAATGTGCTGAAGCCTCTCGGTATCATTTGAGAATTTGACAGGAGCAGGAGGTTTTGCACCGGGAAAAGGTGAGGCAGCCACAGGTGCAGGTTTTGGGGTTGTGGTGGCCCTAGAAGATGTTGATTTAGCTGCAATGTTAGAGAGCATCGACTGACACTTCTCCTGCTGCTTATTAAATCTATCTAACTTCTCTTGCAATGCCATAACTCAAGACCTTCTTAATCTTCAGAACTTCTCAAATCCTGGAGACACAAAAATAAAAAAATAAAAAATAAAGCTTAAAACCCAAAAAGCTTATCAGCATAACTACCCAAATGCATGTACAATAACTCCAACCAAATAAAAATTAAGAGAAATCTACCTGCTACGTGATCAGAAATTCAACAAGATCCAATCTTTTTATGTTACCAAAGTTACCATGATTCAAAATTTCATCTTTAACGCAATAAGAAAGACTCCTTTCACAATCAAACACAAAGATTGGATTTCAAACTCTAATCCAATAACTGGTTAAAGTTTAATCTTGAGAATGTTGCTTCATTTTTCCCAGCTTTTGAGGTTTGCTACTTCTTATAATCCTGACCCAGTTAATCGTAATCTAATTTCCTGTTCAACACTTCAATGACTGAATCTTTCCAAACCCATATCAAATTAGAACCACAATCTAGTAACCCAATCTTTTATTCCAATTATAATCAAGATATCAACTTGGGCAACTGTAAAAAACCTAACTCGACCATCAAAATCATGATTTTTGAAAGCTTTTTCTTTATTCAACGAATCGTTTCATAAAAAAACAAAAATATTCAAAGATTCGAAGATCATAAAAGGGAAAAGAGAAAACCTTTGACAGAGCTTTCTCTTCTCTCGCTGTTTTGGCTTCAATTTCTCTTTGTTTTACCTTCGTTGGTCCTAAATAAATAAGCAAAAAGTTAAGGGACGCGCTTTCACAAGGAAGCAGCGTTGAGCAATTAGCCCGTAACCAAATTAATCGATTTTTATTCGATAACTAATCCAATCGATAAAAAAATTTAAAATAATAGATTATAATCGAATTAACCATAATTAAATTAATTTGGTTTAGTTCAATCAAATTAAATAATCAAAATTTTTATTTTTTATTATAAATAATTATTTAATTATATATTTGGTTTAGTAAAATTTAAATTTATGTATCATTCAAATTAAAAAAATAAAAAATTTAATAATTTTAATAACATTTTATATAAAAAATAATTAAAAATATTTATCTTAATTTTTATTTATTTATTAAAAATATTAATTAATTCAATGAATTTCAATAATAATTTTACAAACAAAAAATTAATTAATTTAATCAATTTAAAAAATTCATTATAATAAAAATTGAATTAATTATTTTTCATTGATTTCCGTCGATTAAATCAATCTATTGAAATCGATTTCTCCTACTCTTACAACGAAGAGCTCAACTGCTTTCTTAGAAGTACCTTTTTCTTTTTTCTTTTTTTTCTAAAAAGCTAAATTTACATTTAAAAATTTTTCACTTTAAATATTTAAAAAATCAACCAAGTGACTATATAATTTATTTAAAGTTTAAACTTAACGTAAAAATATTTGTAAGATTTTGGAGAAAAATTAAAATATTCAATAAGTAATTTCATTATCTAAGAAGATACAATATTAAAATATAAATTAATATTGCTCTTTTTGTCTATTTTTCATTCATTTTTTAAAAATATTTTAAAGTTATGTTTTATTTTTTAAAACATATAAAATTTTCATTTTTTATTTTAAAATTATTTTTTATAATTTTTGCTTTTTAATATTAAAAATTATAAAAATTTAATTTTATAAAAAAATTAATTTTAATATTAAATATATTAAAATAAAAAAAATTTTCTCAAATTTTTTAAAAATTAAGACAAATAAATTGAGATGGATGGATTACATTTATTTTCTAATCAAAATTTTGATTGGCTACAAGTTTATGAGAGTTTATTACTAGTTTCTAACATTCACACAAAGAAAAAAATTTTCTAATTGGCGAGTGTTTATAGTTTATAAAAATAATTAGATTTTTTTGTAATTTTTTTCTTTTAATTTTGAGAGTTTAATAGTTTAGCAGTCCATGATTTGCCAACTCAGCCTCCACTAACAAATTACTGACAGTAAAAACTCACCTGAAAAAATATTTTTTCACCTGACTTGTTTTGTTTTTAAAATATCGACTGAAAAAGAATTTTACAAAAGGCCACGTGTTGATCTTCCGTCACACATTGTGTTATTGTCGTCAGTCTTCTTTTGTTAGGCAGTTTGACCTTTCACTCCCACTTTTTTACTTCCTTTCTCAGACACACTCCAAAACGATTGCCGGAAAATCTAATTTCTGGCGATAATGTCGGAGAAAACTTCCACGGATTGGCTTCCCCCTGGCTGGACCCTACAGTTCAAATTCCAAAAGACCGGCCGGAGAATCACGGTTAGTTAATTATTTCCCAACTGGTACTTGTATTTATTTCAATTTAGGGTTTTTTAGGTTTTATTTTCTCTATTTTATTGTTTTACTTTAAAAAGAAATTAACTGTTTTGAAGAAGTTTTGTGAAGTAGGGTAGATATGAACTGATGAAGTTTAACGTTAAGTTATGGAGCTTTTATTAGTTGGTTATCGGTTGCTTTTAGTTGCATGTGAAAGAAATGCAATCAAATGGTTTATCTTGCTTTGTGCATGTCGAGTTCGAGGGTTAGTAGAACAAATGAGGGTTGCATGTTGATGAATTATGAGTTTTCGAGGCCAAAGAGCGAAGGTATTGAGGTTTTTTATTCTGTTGATTTGGCATTTTAGTGATGTATTGCATGAAAATAAGAGTTCGTTGCATTGTTGCCGTAGGTAGTAAATTTACGTAACAGCAGGTGGATTTTGTTCTGTATGAGGAAATTTTGAGGCATTGGAATGATTTTCTTTGTCGTTTCGTGAGAAAAAGTTAAAGAAATAAGAAGAGAGAAAACAATGCCGGTGATTCCAGGGTGCTGAGACATTAATTTTTGGGGTAAAGGCTTTAATAGTTGATTATGTGGTGTATTTTGATGTGGTGTCAAAATTTCTCCCCTTCTTCTTGTCTTTTCTGCAAAATAATTGAGCAATTAAAATTATAGATGTGTGTCACTGCTTAAATAAGACAAATGGTAATATGTAGAAAGAAGCTGTCTATTTACACCAAATCTGCTAACATGTTCTTGTTATTATAATTATTGTTTCCTTTTGCAGCATTACGTAAACTTGGCAACTGGTCAAAAGTTCTTTACCAAGGATGATCTTATTCTCTATACTAAAACAGGAAGCACTCAATCTGATGACCAGCAGTCAACTTTAAGGCAAAATGTAAGTTTTGATAACCTATTAATTAACTGCTTTTGTTTTCCCTTCCTATTTTATTCTTTTATTTTATCATCATACAGACTGTGGCAAAAGCAAATGATCGTCCGGAATGGTTACCTAAGAATTGGTTAATGGAAGTGAAAACCCATAAGAGTGGTGCAAAAATTGGAAAGCACTACAAGGTATTAAAAATTCTTTTCTTTTATGCATAGGAACCATGGTGCTTTTCTACCTTCTAGTACCACATGGATTTGTGATATTGTATTATTGACGGATTCTTTCTCCATTAATACCCTTTGCTGGTGGTTCTGCTGGGTATTCCTCTTATGCTGCTAACACATCAATGGCTACCACTTCAATAAGCATGAATGACTTGTCCTATACTCCTATTTACCATTGACATCTCAATTAGAACTTTCATACATGCACATAATAACGAATGAGATTGATTTTTCAAAAATTTTTAAGGCTTTGATTTACATTATATTGCATGGACTAGCATTTACTAACCCAAGGAACTTTAAGCACTTATTTTCTGTCTTTGTAATTTTCAATTTTACTTTTTTGTTGAGCTGCTTTCTTGTTACAGATATACATTGATCCATTAACCGGATCTAGATTCTATTCCAAGCCAAAGGTGTTCGGTTTTCTTAGCAATGTAGAGCAGGAAAGTAGCAAATCTGAAGCAAAGAAAATAACCTCACACTTTACGAGCAAAGTTGGTTCTCTAAAATCCTTTTGCTACCACTTTCTTTTCTACCTTGTTTGGGAATTTTTTTTTTTTGTTTCTGTCCATGTACTTATGTGTTTGCAAAGACAGAGAGAAGACGAGAATTGTGCTTACAGTGCTTATTAAGAAACTATCATATCTTGTACAATAAATAATGGTAAATTTAAAAAATGTACATCTCTTCTCCACCTGTCTCTTCTCAGTGCAACCACTAGATACTGTTATATTATCCAAAATCTATTTTGATCGCTGAAACAACTAATTTATATTTTTACGTTTCTCCTATCAAAGTTGTTGTATGTGAAAGAAACATTTGCAGTCTTACCACTGTGTTGAATTAAAATGCCCTTAGCAAATGATCACTTGATAGTGAGTTTAGATCATCTATTAATTTGCTGCCCTTTTTCACTTTTAATTATTTAATCATCATCCAGACTGTTGTAAAAGGAAATGAACACCCTGAATGGTTACCTCAGAATTGGTTCATGGAGGTGAAAGCCCATAAGAGTGGTGCAAAAATTGGAAAACACTACAAGGTATGAAATTTGTTTTTCTTTTATGCATAGGAATCATGGTGATTTTCTATCTTCTAATGCCGCATGGAATTTGAAGTACTGTATTATCGGAGGATTATTTTTTCCGTTGCTACCCTTTGCTGGTTCTGATCATATTCCTGTTGTGCTGCTACACATCAATGGCTACCACTTCAATAGGCATGAATGGCTTGTCCTATGTCCCATTGACATCTGAATTAGATCTTTCATACAGACACATCATAATGAATGAGATTTTTATTTAAGAACTTTTTATGTCTGTAATTTACTTTATGTTGCATGGACTAAACATTTACTAACATGAGGAACTTTAAGCTCATTTCTTCTTTTCATAATATTTCAATTTTAATTTTTATTGAGCTGCTTTCTTGTTGCAGGTATATGTTGATCCATCAACTGGATTTAGATTCCATTCCAAGCCACAGGTGTTCTATTTTCTCAATCATACGGAGCAGAAAAGTAGCAAACCTAAGCGAAAGAAAAGAGCCTCTCACTCTACAAGCAAAGTTAGTTTCAAAATATCCTTTTGCCGCCATTTTGTTTTTCTTGTTTCTTTCTGTCTATTTATTTGTTTGCAGAGAGAGAGAGAGAGAGAGAGAGAGAGAGAGAGAGATTGGTGACATTTAAGTGCTTAAAGTGCTTATACTAATATACATAAAAGTTGTTCTATATTTAGAATATCTTTTATGAGATACTGAATCTTATTCCTTTATTACAACTACTGAATGAGATAGGTTTTTTTGTATTTGTAAATCTAGGTTGTCATTAAGAAATCTACTGCGGATGATTTACCAGCAGGATGGGTCAAGGAAGTCAAGATTAAAAGGGATGCAAATGGAGTCAGAAGGGACCCGGTATGGAGTTACTTTCCAATTCTTTCTGTACCCCTAGCCTTCCTTTTAGATATACATGGATACACGTTACTTATCTATGTCCTCAATATTCATGATACATACCAAAAAATTTGTGCTGATTCTTGTGCTGATATTGCTTCAAGCTTTGCCTTGACAGCATAATGAACTAACTGGTGCTTATTTATGGAGTTATAAATTATTGTTCTTTGAACATACATACTAGTTATGAATTTTGATCAGTAATAATTATGAATGCTACAGTATTACACTGATCCGGCTAGTGGATATGTTTTTCGCTCCAAAAAGGCTGTTCTTCGCTATCTAGAAACTGGAGAGATTGGTAGAGATGCTTTTTTACCGAAGAACAAGCACAGTGATGATCAAAATTTAATTAGTAAAGACAAATTAGTAAGTTTGCACTTAATCTATTTTAATCCTATTTCCGTTACTATTTTATTTGCTCAACATTTACCTGCTTGATTTATTACATATTTCAATGATGCATGCCGTATCAAACTAAAAGTCCATTATCATTTATTAAGTTACATTGTTTGCTTTAAAATCATACATGGAATAAAGGTAAGGACCAGGTTCATGTTTTCCATACAAGATCATGGGTATTATAGGATACGACAAGTAAGCTCATATACAGGTTGTCCTTAGGTTATTGATAACCTATGGGGATATTCAGAGACTAAATTTTGTGTTTGAGGATTATGCACCTGCAACCTGATTCATTGTCAAGGTTTATCTATCTTATGACATGCCATTCAAGTCTAATGCCTCATCTACCATTTTGTAGACTATAATTTCAACCAATAGTCAGTTGGGATTTGATTCATAATCACTTTTTTTTTTTTTCTTTTGGGTAATATGCTGGATGGAAATTTTTATCATCTGAATGTTTTTACCTTTGCCTTCTGTCTATTTAGCAACTCCCAGCAGCTAAAACGCAGAAAGTGAAGCATCCTGCTGCCAGGCGGCAGCTGTTTACAGGTAAGGGGTGGAAAATTTATAAACCCTTCAAACCATGAGCAACCATTGAGAATTTGAATCAGAGGGGTTGTTTACAAGCCAATCTTATGTGGATTCATGCTTCTGATGCAGAACTTGTCGCTGCAGGTGAGGAGACATCTGATAGGAGTATCTTATCTGACCTAGAAGCTGAGACCTTTCAGAAAGGCCAAAGTAAGAAGGGTTATACTGAAACTGGGATTGCTACAGCTTCCATACTTCAGATTTCTCAAGGGAAGGGTTCTGTTGAGAATGCAATTAAAAGGAATCCTGAGAATCCTGAGACTGCTGAAAAATCAAGTAGGAGCAGCTCAGTAGCTCAAAAAACATCCAAGAGAAAGCAGGGTAAAATATTCTCAGTGGATAATGTGCTTGTTTTAACTGCTGCAGCTGATGTGCAAGAGAAGAACCTGCTTGAAAGTGGAACACAGAATAGGAGCAACTTAAACTTTAAGAATTCTAGCAAGTCCAAGAATAAAAGAGAGCTTGATTTGCCTAGGAGGTTTTCAAGTCGACTTGCTCGGCTTGCACCTCAGCTGGTGGCTAGTGGCCTTGAACTTGCTAAGCCTTGCCAAAATGAAACCAGTGGTCCCTGTGTTTTGGAGGATGAAGCACCTCAGCAGCTTAATGTTCGCTCCAATGCAGAGGTAGCAAAGCAAGCCTCTGCTTATTCAACGGTTTCAGATTGTGGGTTAGCAAAGAAGACCATAAAGCCCATTGAAGACAAAGATGTTCTTGGAAAGCAACCACAAATGTTTGAGACTAGTGACCCTAAGTCAGAAGTACGGCCTTTCTTTTGTTCAGATCCATGCCTAGAATTTGCAATCAAAACTGTTAAAGGTGCAATACCACTTGATGATGCAGCTAATGAAGGGCTTGTTTCAACTCCAGCTTCTAATGCCCTGCAAGAGAAGAATCTAGGTAAATCCATTGTGAAAAGCGCAAGGAGCAACACAGAAACTAAGCACTCAAGCAAGTTCAAGAAGATGAAAGAGCCCGGCTTGCCTCGTTGGTCGTCGAAACGACTTCCCAGGCATGAATCTGAGCTGGTGGCCAATGGAGTGTCCACTGAAGTAGCTCTTCAGAATGCAACTACCAAGACTAGAAAAAATGAACCAAAACCACCATGTGTTTTGGTGGATAAAGCAACTTGGCAGCTAAACATTGGTCCTACGTGCACCAACCTCCCAAATCAAGCTTCTGCTGCAGCAGTCAGTCCAGAAATCAATAACATAAGACGTAATGAAGATAAAGCAATTCTTGGAGAGGAACCACAAATGTTGGAAACTCAGAAGGGCTGTGACAGCAAGTCAGAACTACAATCATTTTTCTGTTCTGACCCATGCCTAGAATTTGCAATCAAGACTCTTACAGGTGCAATACCATTAGAGGATGCTATCAATGAAGGGCTTGTTTCGCCACCCATTGCTAATATCCAGCAACAGAAGAATCTAGCTGAAACTAGAATTGAAAAAAGCAGTTGTAGAAAAACTTTGTTTAACTCAATTAGGTCTAAGAATAATGATGGCAGTTTGCTTCGTCGGTCTTCAAAACGACTTGCTGGACATTCACCTGAGCTGGTTGCATCATTGTCCAATGAACAAGCTCTTAAAATTGCAGATAGAAAGTCTTGTAATAGCAAAGCCATTCGGAATGCAGATCTGACTTCAGTGAATCTGACAGATAAAGCATCTCAACAACTTGAGATTGGACCAAGAATGGCACTTGAACGTCGTGATTTTACATACAGAACCACTGTGTTCCATGTTGAGTCGTCAAACAAGAGCAAAGAACCTCATCAAAACCAAACTGCTCCTACAGAAGTGATTGGGAAGCCAGGGCTGCAATCTGCAATTCCATTTCAGAACTCTTGGTCCGATCCATGCTTTGGGTTTGCATTCAAGACTGTTACAGGTTCTAGTCCTGCTGAGGATAGTTTTGCTTTTCAGAGTCACTTCAACCAACAGTTTGACAGTTCTGGCAGCCAAAGAGATGGCAACTTTGCACTGCCAGATAATGGCTTGCCCAACGTTTTTCAAAGTGGTATTTCATCACACTTTGATGCCACGGCACAACCTGTTATGCAACAACAGTTCCCTGTGAATCCTTCATTCCTGCCCCCTGGTAATGTAAGCTTACCTACTTGCGGTACAGCCAGTGCTCAACAACCTTACAGGAAGGGGAAAAGGAATTTCCAGGCAAGGTAAAATCCTAGATTTAAGGGTTTGCTAAAGGAAGCATGCCACTGCCAGGCATCTAAGACAAGTTCTGGTTAGCTATTATGTTTGAACTAACAACTTTATGGTTTTCGACTTCTTGGTGTTCTGGCTTTTGTACTTTGGCATGCACCTTTAGAAAAAAAAAAAAAAAGGAAAAAAGGTAAGTTTTTTCCTCGTTTTGTGAAAAGTATGTCAGCTGTTAATGTAAGAAAATCTTTTGGCGTTCACGTGGACTATCCTTGTTAAGGTGTACGGATGCATTAACATCTGAGGTATTGTAAGCTTGTTGTGTTCCCTTCATTTTGACAGTAGATGGAGCATAAAAGCCGCCATTTATGGCAAGTTTTGGGTTATCAAATGTTGTGTAATGTATTACTGTGTTCTTGGACCAATGACAGAGTGGTCACATTACATCATTTTTGGATGATCATTAGAATTTAGATGTTACCCATTTTACAATATTACTAGTATAGAAAGAAAAGATTTTCTCTGTCGGAAAACGAGGAAGCTGCTGAAGCAAGCACGTTATGGTTCGTCACGCTACCGGTGAACACGCAACGAAGATTGCATTAGAAATTCAAGAGAATAATATTTTCTTTTTTCCCACCATTGTTTTAGAAATTCATAGCTCTTGTTCCAAAAGAAGAACCAAATGTTAAATCTCCTCAGCACAAATTAACTATAAATTGAAAAGGCTTATTATCCAGGATTGGTACTGCAAACTTTTCAATTATCCGTAACAAAGCTCAGGTTGGTTGAATTCGATCTACAGGAGCACAAAATAATAACATTCAACCAAATATAATTCTGAATCAAACTTCAGAATAAAGTTCTTGGAATAGAAATTAACATGGAAACCGCAAGTGGCCTAGTCCCTGTATGAAGACTCCTTCCACCCTGCAAAAGATTCCTTTTCAACTTGAAAACTCCCGTCAACACAATCCTGTTATGAAGCAATGGATATTTCATTTACTGAGAATAATTGACCAGTTCAAATCAGAAAGTCGAAAAGAAAAACAAAGGAATTGGAAAGGAGCCCTACGCAAAGCTGAATATTTCATTCAAATTTTTGCTTTGCTAAGAGCAGAGTTATCAAGAGTTTGAGACTCATTGCCTTCTGGTTTTCGGATAATTATAAATCAATGTTGGAGTTCAATGCAGTCAGTCTGGCTTTCTCTTCATCTTCTAGCAGTCAAATGGAAATGCAATTAAAGACAAGAAATACATGAAAAATACCTCTGGGGTGAAAGTAAGACCAATTCTAATCTCCCCACGATATTCTTCATCCTTGACAACATTATATGCAGCTGGGGGCAAATACAGGCTCCAGAGGAATGCTACAAATATCATTAAAACTTAGTTCACTGACTTATGATCCTAAATTGAATAGGTATCTACAATGTTGAAAATCTATATTTCACTGCTCAAGGTTCAAGCAAGAACTTCAGAAAACGCTTGGATCTTGTCCTATTCTTCAAAAGAATTATACCATACATCTTATGAAATTTGTGTAAATAAGTTTCATGGCAAGTTTTACATGACTTTTGAGTATTGCTAATAATAGTAAAAAAATCACATGAGAATATAGCAATACTCACGTTGCTTCAACCACAAAATCATCCTGAGAACCACAATCACTGTCCATTATTTTCAATTTGAGTTCTGAAACACCTTCAGAGACCTTGAATACAAAATTCTCATTCCACTCGGGATCAGACCCTTTTCCTGCAAAAGTTTTCTTTTTTTTTTTTTATAACTCTATTAGTTCCTACTTATCTACAATAATAGAACAAATTTTTATGATAATCGATCTATTATCCAACAAGAGGAACACTCAACCTGAAGCAACACTACTTTTCTGCTCCTGGGTACGGCAAATGAGGAGCACATAAGGATCCATGTTACCTGCTCGTTTCCAAAATTTGATTCTCAAAAACATTAGTAACAAACATACAAATATCATCGAAAGCAACGTCTACAACCAATTTGTCAATGTAATATCATTCAAACACAAAATGTGAAAAAAAAAAATCAGGTAGGACTTTAAATATGATCAATCAAATTAATTTAAATGACCATCCTTGAGTAAATGTTCATAATCAAAATTGTCATGATCTCAAGTGTACCCAGATCTATACAGACAAAATTGAAATTGAATAAGACCATAAACAAAGACTAATACCAATAAGATTCAGATTAAGAGAAAGAAAAAAAAACCTAAGAAAGAAAGAAAAACTCACAGAGAAAATCTGTGCTCTCAAGGCCCTTGGCAGTAACAAGAACAACTTCAAGCGTTCCCTGAGGCATGTTCTCAAGACCCTTTGCCCTGTTTTTCTTAAAGAATATTACCTTTTACGAGGAAACTGAGATGCACTCTGCAGTTGAAAATGTAAAATCCGAGATTTTGGTTTGAGTTCGGACAAAAGTGAACCGAAGCCGATAAATTGGGGGACAACGTCAACCGTCAACAAACGTTGGAAAGCATATGATCAAATTCTCCTTAATAGTCAATTAACTCATGTGCCAGGCATCTTCACTAGTCAGTCGGTCAAGGGCTTAAATATGAAGATCAGACCAAATGAAACGGGCTGGGCTTATGAGCCCAAGCAATCTGACGAACTGTATAATTATACTATCTAATGATAAAGATAATACATTCCTGATTTTTAAAGTGTATATAATTTAATTTTCTTACGAATTATAGCCAATGATTTGTTCTAAAGTGGATTTTTATAGAATACAGATAAGATCAGAAGATGGTTTCTTTTCCTCCACCATGAAGTGGTCCTCTTTCAGGCCATTGACACCAAAGTAGCAATAGTTAGGCCCAAATAGAAGCCATGGATGGATGTACCGGTGCCGCCTTTTTGGACTAGACCTGAGCTGAGTCGAGTCGCTCCACCCAGCCGAAAATGGCAAACTTACAGAAATCCCCAGCTTTCATTTATGATTAGACCATTTATAACAAATCAGAACATTTGCACATCGGTGACATGAGCTCGGATAGTTTTCATATACTATTATTATTCCACAACAATATTACATGTATTTCCGGCAAGAAATGTTGTACTGATCATCAGTCCATTTTGGCATTCGATCTGTCCCGTTAATGGTGGACTTAGCTACAATTTAGTCAGTTTTTTACTCTGCACAGTGGTTTAAACATTGAAAAATATTGAGAAAAGTAAGTGGAATGTAACCAGATGAGAGATTTTTTTTTGGATGAATTTCTCCATTCACTCATGATTTTTTGATGAATCCTTTCACTCATTATTAAGCATTTCTAAACTAAAAAGTTGTACTTCTATAATGAAACGCTTTATAAACGTTTATTTATTAATTCAAGCTTCATCTGAAGTTTTAGTGCAACTTCACTTAGCACATACATGTGAAAGCTTCACTTAGCACGTTATTAGTACTACAATATATATGATACTTCATAAAGCACAACAGAAATACACTTCAAGGGCAGAACACAACCCTGTAGTTAGTTCCACCGGGACAAGTAAATGTGCTTGTTTGATCATCTTTAGGGTAGCTGTAAGCATCAGGGCACCTTGTCTTGAAGAACCTGGAGAAATCTGTAGGACCACAGTTCCCAGAATTGCAACAATATTGATCAGTCTTAAAAACGGTGCAAGGGTTATTGCACCCACCTGGGGCTTTCAATTGATTAGGGCACTGCCCCACGATATCTGCGGTGCATCTAATACCCCTGGTGCAACCCCCAGAAGATGGACTAAATTCCATGGGAACATTAAATCCATCAACTAGGGAGATATCGAAGAAATCCAAGTTATTGAACTGGTTTAGTGCGTATTCGGCTAGGGTGTTGGGTGGTGCACCGAAGGCTTGGCACTGTAGGAGCCCCCCACAGTCACCGGTTTGGCATCTGCCACGTCCAGCACCGTCAAATTGGCAATTGGTTCGAGCCCAGACACGAGCTCCTTTGGTGCCGGGCCTCACATCTAGGTTCCAGACTCCACCACGATCTAGCCGCCTGCCACCACCAGGCACGGCTGCTGCCCAGACCGTGAAGGGGCAGTTGTTTCGAATGTTAAAAGTGGCAGCATTGGCCACCGTGAAGAAGAGAGTAATAAAAGAGAAGGAAAATATAGAGATGGTTTTCAACTTCATTTTTATGGTTAAAACTCTGATAAGCTTGAATGGATATGGCTTTCGGTATGGAAGAAGCGGGTTTATATAGATACAAGAATAGTGTCCCCTGATTAGTGCGTTAGGACCTACAGCAATGACCATGAATTAATGGTTGTGGAAATCTTTCATTGACGAAAACTGTAGAGTAAAATTCATAAATAAAAATAATACATTTTATAAAATAAAATTTTATTCCAAAAGTACTATTTGTGGAAATTTCTTGTGGAGACGGTATCATGTCGATGGCTTGGAATTAAACACGTGATTTTCTATTTGCATTATATAAAATATTAAAAATTTATGTATTTTTATTATATTTTAAAAAATTATATATTATAATTTATATCATAAAAAAAATATTTTTAAAATTTTAATAAATATATCTATAATTTTTATTAAAATTTTAAATTATATTATTTTTATATTTTTTATTTATATTATTTTTAAATCATATTATCTAATCGTGTTTCAATTTTAACATGTCTATTTGAAATTATCTTTTCAAGATACCACTTTCGTAGACTTGAGATCCGTCTAAGAGCAGATTGTGTGGAGTTCACTATACCTAGTCATGGCAGGTAATCTATCTTAATTTTTTTTTTCCACCAAAATAGAAAAAGTTTCATTACGCTTAGCATTTAAGACTTTTTGTACTCCATGTGATAGCCAATTTCCATTCTACTGATATTTCTAGAAGTTGTAGAGAATTTTCTTTCCACCACTATAAAAGAAATGACCGGTGCAAGAGAGCAGTAGATATTAAATTCGATATTAATTCAATATTAAATCTCAGATTTAGTTCAAATGATTCAATTGAAATGAATTCTTATAAATAAAATATCTTAATGGTTAAGATAAGTGAAGGAGAGATTGCAATATATTAATTTGATCAAAAGTCAAACAAATCTTTTTGAGAGTAGCAACAAATCTTTTTGAGAATAGCATTTTTAATTAAAATAGAGCATTCTTTGACTAGTATAAACAATAGTTGCTGATCAAACAATATGGATTATGGATACAAAGAATGAGTTTTTTTGTTTATAATCGTCACATATACAATCATGGATAGAATAAAATAAATGAATCTTGGCTTTCTTATTGGTACATACTACATGGCATAGCATTCCACAAAAGCCAAAACATAATGACTTCATCAACAATACCAGTATTTCAAGGACAGAACACTACCTTATAGTCAGTCCCAGCGGGACATGTAAATGTGCTTGTTTCATCATCTTTAGGGTAACTGTAAGCATCGGGGCACCTTTCTTTGAAAAAACTAGAGAAATTTGTAGGACCACAGCTCCCAGAATTGCAACAATATTGATCAGTTTTGAACACGGTACAAGGGTTATTACACCCACCAGGGGCCTGAAGTTCATTAGGGCACTGCCCCACAATTTCTGAAGAGCATTTGATTCCTCTAGTGCACCCACCAGAGGTTGGACTGAATTCCATGGGAACATTGAACCCATCAACAAGAGAGATATCAAAGAAATCCATGCCACCGAACTGGTTTAATGTGTATTCAGCCAGGGTGTTTGGGGGTACACCATAGCCTTGGCATTGGAGGAGCCCTCCACAGTCACCTGTCTCGCATTTGCCTTGCCCCGCTTCATCAAATTCACAATTGGTTCGAGCCCAGATGCGGGCACTTCCTGTTCCAGACCTTACATTGATGTCCCAGACTTGGCCATGGTCGAGCTGCCTCCCGCCACCAGGCGCTGCTGCAGCCCAAACCGTGTAGGGGCAGTTATTTCGGATGTTGAAAGTGGCTGCATGGGTTAATGTGATGTAAAGAGCTCCAACAACAAAAAAGCAATATATTGAAATGATTTTGAAGCTCGTCATATTCGGTTTGTAAGAGAGAATATAGACTTAAGTTTTGATTCTTCTGATCTAATTAATTGTATGGCATTTGTGACCCCAAAAAAAATCAAATTTATAGAGTTTTGCAGAAATGTAATTCACTTAAACTTATCAACAAAGGAAAGGAGAACTTTCCGGTTTTGGATTTTGTGGGACTGTGATCTTCGACCTCTAGCTCAAAGGGAGTTCTCATTTTTTAACTTAACAGAAAGAATATGTCTCAATTGAGTTAACAAGAGGTCTTGTTTCACAATTTTCATGTCATTCCCGTAAACTTGGCTAAGGAACAGATGAACAGAAAATTGAAAATAATCTGAAATTCGATTTGTCAAAATGGTATCCCTTTCATAGTTCTAGAATTTATAATTGGTTACCAATTTGCTTGGTCCACCTTATATGTTACACACCATATCATTTCCAAGCCTTCATGCATAAGCTGGTGCGGGCTTAATTGAATAATAAAAATCATGCATTAAACGCAAAGATTCAATATTAGAACATAAGAAGTAAAATATAGAATTAAGGTGAAGTTTTTCATGTAGAACAAGCATAGAATCCATTTGGGCTTTAATTTTTTTAACGAAAATCTTGTGCCAATCAAATGAGCAAATACTAGGGTGTCTATTTGGGCTTAATTGAATAGCAAAAGACATGCTGCATTTAATTTAACCACACACAAACAAATCGACCCATTAAATCTGTCCGAAAGATTGACAGGCTCATATGTAATTGGCCTGGGCTTCTGATTCTTGGCTTCATGAAATTGTCAACAACACAAATCCGTGAGGGCGTTCTCGAAGGAGACAAGACAGCCATTAAAGCCCGTTACAACAAGCTCTTAAAAACACATTTCAGTTTCCCGCTACGTAACTTGATATCTACCGTAGCAAAAACCCAACACCATATTTTTCTTTACTCAAGAAAAATCGTAGCTTTTTTTTTTGGTTCTTTTGGCGGTTGAAGTAATCAGAGGCATAGTTTCAGGTAAAGCCTTGAGTTCTCTTAAACCCGAGAAATTTCTTTCTATTTGAGATTTCCTTGTTTAATTCTGCTTTAAGGTTATTTTGGGTTCCTTTCGTTTTAGTTTGATTTTTGTTATATACAGTTCTTGGTGCTGTGTTTGGCTGGCTAGGAAATCATCGGAAAACGTGGGAAATTTTTGTGACTTGGAAAGGAACCACAGAACTGAAATATGGGTTTTTCGAATTTTTTGATGTTATGAAAATGTTTTCTTATTCATTTTAACCGTGCTTGTAGATGGCTCAATAACTCGTTATCTTCTCTTTTACTCCGTTGTCTTGGGAACCAAACAGAAAGTTCACATTTTTGTGTAGGTTTTAGAGTGTGTATGGTGATAGTAAAAGGATAAATTTGATGCTATGAGTTTTGATGTGCCCTGTGGAATATTACATATTGGGCTTTTTGATGTCGTGTGTGGAAAGTTGACAGATTAGCTAAGTTACATGATTGTGGTTGGCAGCCGAGTTGAGAAGACCATGGTGGGAGTGAAGGAGGAGAAAGAAAAGTAGTGTACTATGAAGATTTAGCAGAAGAGTTGGACCTGTTTCAGCTTCTTCATCGTTAACCAATTTGGAGAAACTTGTCATTTTGATGTGAGCTTTTATTGATGTAGCAGAAGGTAACTTGCCCAACTAGATATTCGTGTAAAAAGAGGGTGGACCGAGCAACAATTTTTCTTTCTTCTACTGTAGCCACGCTGAACTGCTTCTACTTCTTTGGTCGGATCTCACGGCTAACAAACTAGTCAACCAGCAGCTTATCCACGTAACATGCGTAACAAAGATCTCGTTTCGAACATATCATCTAATCACATGGATTGCTCTACCAACATCAGTTTAGATTTGTTACCAGAAAATCTGGAAGATATAGATAAAGTTTATTTGATGATGAAACATATCCTTTCAATAATCTTTATCTTTATTTAAGGGCTTTGATCTCTTTGTACCAAACCAAAAAAAATCATGATCACCTTTTTCAATTTGACTCGTTTATCTAACCCAAAACTCTACTGTAACCATTCTTGTATCGAAATTATCAATTATGAGTTATGACCGACAGAAGAGAGATCTTGTTATAACGTAGGACAACAGGAGTAGCTGTTCTTCTCTCTCTAAAACACTTTCACAGTCATTGCCTATTTTTACGCATTCTTATCCATTTCTTTATCCTTTTTATAAAGATTGTTTCCTTGATTTCCTCAAACACGTCTTCGTCCAAACGTAAGTATTTCCAACACTGATTGCTATTTATTTGTCTTGTCATTAACAAGAAAAGGGTTTCTTTAAAAACCAAATATCCCTCTTACTTTCTTTCTCTGAATTCTAAAGTCATAAAACAAGATTCTTTATAATCTTTTTTTGACTGCTTACAAATGAGTTCTTCAGAAAAAACTATTCTTGTTACCGGAGGAGCTGGGTTTATTGGCACCCACACAGTGGTGCAGCTTCTCAATGAAGGTTTTAGAGTGTCAATTATTGACAATCTTGATAATTCTGTTATTGAAGCTGTTCATAGGGTTAAGGAATTGGTGGGTCCTGAGCTTTCTCAGAAACTTGACTTCAATTTGGTAAGAACTTCTTCATATAATGAAATCTTTGAATCTTTGCTGTATGTTTCTATTTGTTTGCACGATCAGACATTTGGGTTTTTCTTGGTCTTAACATCTACAATAAAGGTATCATCTATTGATTTGAGCATGATCAAGATTTTGGTTTTCTTTGGTTGCAGGGTGATCTGAGGAATAGGGATGACTTGGAGAAGCTTTTCTCTAAGACAAAGTATGTTAACTGGACGTATGCAACTCTGTTTTTGATTGTTTGAGGTTTTCTATGAGCATAATGATCCACATTTTAGTAGAATTTATGTCATTGTACTGTTTGCATTTGTCCTAAAACGAATGTTAGTTGACTAATATTGTGAAATTGGATTCTTCTGTATTTATCAAATGCCACAGGTTTGAAGCCGTCATCCACTTCGCTGGCCTTAAGGCTGTTGGAGAGAGTGTTGGTAACCCACGTCGTTATTTTGACAATAATTTGATTGGCACTATCAATCTATATGAGGTCATGGCCAAATATAATTGTAAAAAGGTACGAAAATGTCTTAAAATCTTTGTTTTGCTTTGTACGAGAACTTGTTGGCTGTATTATTTAGTAGTTAGAAATCTTTGACGAATGGGATCCGGAATTGTTATTATTTCGACACAAGAAAAGGATAAATTACTTCTAAAATTGCCTGAAACCCTGGTTATTGATTCAAGTTCAAGTTCCATATAACTTTTCATCATGCTTTTTCATGTTTCATGTTTAAGCCACTGCTGATATTGTATTATACTTCTTTTTTTTTTTTTTTTTTGGGGGGGGGGGATGGGGGGAACAGCTTGTATTCTCATCCTCTGCTACTGTCTATGGCCAACCTGAGAAAATACCATGTGTTGAGGATTTTGAATTGAAGGCGATGAATCCTTACGGACGAACCAAGGTACATAGCAGTATGTCTTAAAATTTTTCTTTGTTGGTTCATAATAATTGTACATTCCTTGTTTAAGCTGGAAAAATCCTCTGGAATTGTAATTGTCAAACGTGTGTCTAGCCTAACCTTTTCATTAAATTTCACCAGCTTTTCCTTGAAGAAATTGCACGAGATATTCACAAGGCAGAACCAGATTGGAGTATTATTTTGCTGCGGTACTTCAATCCTGTTGGTGCTCATGAGAGTGGTAAAATTGGTGAAGATCCAAAGGGCATCCCAAACAATCTCATGCCTTACATACAGCAAGTAGCTGTCGGCAGATTGCCTGAACTTAATGTATATGGTCACGATTATCCAACTAAAGATGGCAGTGCGGTAAGTGTTTTAAAAGCTAATATTTCTACTTGAAGAAAGAAGAATTTTCTGTAGGATTAAAGGTCCTTGTTTGTTGAGTGCAGTTAACATTGTAATTCATCTTATTTGCCTACTGGTCATCAAATATATGTGTTACATTCATATTTAATAACTACAAAGTAAGGTTATTAATAACCACATAAATATCTTTTTTCTAAATGAATTTTTCATTTGTTGACAGATCCGAGACTACATCCATGTTATGGACTTAGCTGATGGTCATATTGCTGCACTTAGGAAACTTTTTACCACGGAGAACATAGGTGATCTCTTTTCATCATTCAAGTTTTTACGTCTCATTGAACTTGCATTCTTTTATTTACGTATATTTAGATTGCTGGTAGTTCTTTTTTGGGAAATTTATGGGTTGTTTTAAACTCATCTGTTCTTCTAGGTTGCATTGCCTACAACCTTGGAACAGGCTGCGGTACATCTGTGCTGGAAATGGTTGCTGCTTTTGAGAAAGCTTCTGGAAAGGTGAATGTTCTCTCTCTCTCTCTCTTCTCTCTCTCATATGTATTTAAATTGCTACTGTTGAAAAAATTGCAGAAAATCCCCATTAAACTATGTCCAAGAAGGCCAGGAGATGCTACAGCTGTTTATGCTTCTACTGAGAAAGCTCAAAAAGAACTTGGTTGGAAGTATGTTCGTAATTTCTATCTCATTCCTAATTCATTATTTAACTGGAATTAAATGGATAATCTTCCAAAATTTCTACCCATTACACTATAAGTTAGATCCTCTGTTATATATACTAGTGTTGGTACTTATATCTCAGTCTGTGTTAGCAATCTATCTATCAATGATCAATTGTTCCTTAGTAGAACAATTTTAATGAACCATTGGGCTAGAAAGTTGACTAAGTTCTGCTTATATTATGTTTATCTATTGTGCATTTGTAGTTTTCACGTTTTTTTGGTCATTTTGCGGTTAAGGTTTTGGTATTTTGCAGGGCAAAATATGGTGTAGCTGAGATGTGCAGGGATCAATGGAAGTGGGCGAGCAACAATCCATGGGGATACCAGTCAAAGCCCTAAGCTTGTCTTAAACACTAATTTTTTCCCTCCCCTTTCAAAAGTTTCTCCTGGGGAGAATAGGTGTACAAAACTTGATTATTTGCTTAATTTTCTCATGTTAAAGTCGTCCCTAATGATCAAGTAAAGATTTTTTTTCAAGTGTTGAAATATGTTAATAGGATTCCAATGTTTTACATGGGTAACCCATTGTTTTATACTTGTTTTTACAAGTGTTTGATATTTTATCATTTCTGGATTTAAAAACAAAAGGTTTTTAATTGACTATAAACAGTTGTTAAACAAATCCCTTTCAGGTACCTTTCCATTTTGCTCTTTATGAAAATTTGGGCAGGTATCAGGTTTCAATCTTATCCATAGAACATGCTTATGAAAGCATGATAATCCCACTACGCACTTTAAAAATCAGTATGCTCAGCTTACTGCTTGTCTTTTCTACTTTCGTGTCTGGTGGACCTTAAGGCACATTCCAGAAACAAACGTCAGCATTTAGTTTTCTTGCAATTTTGTCAAACTAAACTACTAAGTATGGCTAAGAGGAAACTTCCCTTGGAATTCCAAGGAATTATCAACTAGACTTCGAAGGATCTTCATATTCACAAAAGCCAACTCAAAGAAACAAATCAAACGCCAATACAAATTAGAAGCAGGAGGTTTGAGGAAGCTTCATCTAAAGAATGGAAAAGGTAAAGGAACCAGTGAAAGAAGAAAGAGAACATGTTTTGGCGATTGCTTGTGGAATCATGTCTGGTGTGTCGCCTGGGGCAGCCAATTCTCAGACTCAGCGGCAGCAATTTCCAACCCCTTCACCATTCTCTTTCTCTGTGACTTCTACAAGTTGGAGCGCTAGGCCTTCCATACATCATTCAAATCTATTCCTTCGGTTCTTGGTGCTTCTCTTCTCCTTTATCTCAGCCCTCACACTGGTTGCCCCATCCACAAAGAAGAAAGACCAACAATCTCCTAGCTTCACTCAGTACCCAGAATTAATGTAAGCATAACTATGATTTTGCTTTAACTATTTGACAAGATTACAAAGTATGGCCCTGAAAGAGAGAGAGAAAAGGATAAAGCAACTAAGAAATCTATTGATCTAAGCTGAGAGATCACCTTAATCTAACAGCAATCTCCCAAATAACTTTCAATCTGAAAGGTGTGCATAACTGAAGGTCCAACTTCCCAAACCTGATATTGGATTCCAAGTAACTATCACATACTGATGAATGCATGCCGTTGAACTACTCTTTAATTTCTTAATAGAATATTTGAATCATCAGAGTGAACTCTTTATTAAACAAGGATTGTTATTGTCTTCGTGTAGATACTGCTTCATTGTAGCAATTTTAGCTTTCCTTTACGCAGCCTTCCAACTGTTTAAAGGTATTTGTGACATTGCACACAGAGGCATTCTAATCTCAGATATGACCTCAGACTACTTAAGCTTTGTCCTCGACCAGGCAAGTGCATTTCCCTATCACAACACACATACTCTATGTTTTTTTAAGTACTAGTTGTTAATTTTTGATCGCTAATTCATGGGTAGCCCTGTAACAGTTGGTGGGTTACCTTCTCGTCTCATCTTCTTCAGTGGCAATACCTATCATTCGACACTTCGAGAAAAGCACACCCCTTTGGAAGGGAACCATTGTATCAACTAGCATGTCCTTTGCAACTTTTCTAGCTGTAGCAATTTGCGCTCTCTTATCTGGTTACAAGCTTTGCAAGAGAATCGTCTGGTGATGTTGCTTGCCTGGCTGGTGTAAATTAGTGTATTCGTGCTTCATTCCGCAAACAACTGTTTTAGTATTAATAAATTAAAACAGCATACTTCGTATGTACATTATCCATCAGACATCCAGTTTGACATATAATTTCAGAACTTGTTAATGACTGAATGTTGGCCATTGTTTTCCAATTATTTTAGATCTTCAGTCTCTCTAACTTGAAAGTTTATGTACCAAAACAACATATAACATGACAAATAAGCTAGACTCTTTGCCACTCTAAAAGGGATCTAATTCACCTATTTCTGGTAAACATATCCTGTTTCTTGCTGTTATTCCCTACAGAAGCAATCGAAATGGCAGGCTTACAATTGAACTAGACACATGGAGTTCCGTCCAGTTGTTACTCATTAGCTTGTTGAAATCTCGATTCTATGTTCAAGATTAGAGGTTCTACAAGTAGACAAACTAATGATTTTTTCATGTAAAAAAGGAAAAAATAAAGGATCTAATGTGCATTAACTAGGATTCCACATTTCAAATATACTTCAAATTCGTCATGAAATGAAAAAGGTAATATATGCCTAGCTTCCCCTCCCCCCCCCCCCCCCCCAACCCCAAATGTTACTAAAGAAAAAGCATAAAGTTACAGTCACTATTCGTAAAGATATTCACTAGGCCACAAAACAATCCTCTGATATACTTATAAGCGAGGCAAATAGAAGCAGGGGTAAGGTCCGGGTCAATTTCAAAATATGATAGGAAAAGAAAATCGAGCATGTATCACCTTGCACCCCCTAAAGTTTTGTCTTCTTCAATGACATGAAGTTTGCCTTCTGTAAACTCACAAGCGGGAATGGGGACCCCAAGCTGCTTCTGCAGTTTCTTCACAACAAACACTTCTGGCTCCTCACAGATGGTTACCACAGTACCTTTCCTTCCAAGCCGACCTGTTCGACCAGCTCGGTGTGCATAATGGATAGAGTCAGTGGGTAAGTCCAGATTAACCACAAGATCACATTCTGCCACATCCAAACCCCTTGCTGAAAGTTCATTAGTCACCAGAACTCTCACTTCTCCATCCTTGAATTTTTTCAAAGTTGTTGACCTCGCAAGTTTGCCAAGGTCACCATGCAGCTCTGCAGCTTTCATCCCTCGAGCCTGTAGTTTGAAGACAGCATCCTTTAGCTGCTTTGTATGGTTCATGAAGGCTATCACTGACTTGGCATCAAGTGCGTGGACACATCTTCTCAATGTATCAACCTTGTGTTGTAATTTTGTGACACAATGGTAATGTTTCAAAGCAGGTGGTAGGCTTTGTGACGCAGCCTGAGTCTGCATATTTGAACTTGAGCCTGAACTGGATGTAGGCCCTAAGAGATTAACAGGTCCAGAGGGAGAAACAGATTCAAGTGACATGACCTTTTTCGCTTGAACAAGAAGTGGGTCAGACCCCCAGCTCCTAGCTGCCCTTATAACTGAATATGGAACCGTTGCAGACACCATAATGGTCTGACGCTCAGCCAACTTAGCACGTGAGCCACGCGGGTCAGCACCTGATCTCCTACCCACATGTTCCAAAATCCGGTGCATATCCTCTCGGAAGTTAAATGAAAGGAGCTCATCAACTTCATCTAAAACCAAGAAGCGACAGCCATGAGTATGAAGTTTTCCAGCCGCACTGATCTCTGCAATTCGGCCAGGGGTGCCAACAACAATTGCAGGCTTGTTTTTCTTTAAAGCTTCTTCCTGTCTTGATCGGTTTGCACCTCCTACAAGTTGCTGAACAACTTTCTTGTCTGCAGGACCTAGAAGCCTTTCAAACTCCCTAACAATTTGCATCCCCAGTTCCCTAGAGGGAGCCACAATAACTGCTTCAATCTCCATTTTCTTCCCAGATTGACCCTCGCCATTTGGAGATTTCTTTTTCAGTGGCCTACTTCAGACAGTATGGGAAGGACATATGCCAATGTTTTTCCTGAGCCTGTGTAAGACTGAATCACAACGTCGTGACCCTTGAGAATTGTTGGAACTGCTGCAGACTGAACATCAGTTGGAACCGTAAAGCCTGCAGTCTCTAACCTCCCCAGCAACAAAGATGGGAGGCCAAGCTCAGAAAATGATTTTGCAGCAAATAGCGCTGACTCAATTTCTAGTGATTTTTTCACCCCAACATCCTTAACTGCTTTTATACTGTCGCTTCTAACAACCCTCACCTTACTTTTGGGTGCTTCATTAGAAACACTGAGCCTCTCGATTTTATTTTCTTTGTTCTTGTTCGTTTTTCCGAAGTCACTCTTGAAACCAAGGCTGGCAAGAATGAGAGGCCCATTATCATGATTAACGTGGCTCACAAATCGTACGCAGGCCTGGCACCAAACTTTCCTAGACACATTAGGCAACCTATGCAAAGTTAAAGATTCTCCAAAATATACAAGCAACCTAGTTGAGGCTAATGCGGGCATCTTTGCTAGATTGTTATTGACCAGCCACTGAAAAATCGACGTCTACAATAGCTCAACCCTGTGCCATTTGATGATCGAGGATTGCCAAAAACCCTTTTAGAAACAGAATGTCAAGCTGCAGATTCAATGCAAGGCAATAAAAGGATCAAAGCAATATTAACAGAAATATTATATGCACATTCTAGCTTCTAACATGCTAAAGCAAACATCAAACACTTGAATCCACTATATCAAGCTATGCTATATGTCTAGTAAGTAGGCAAAACCCTAAACTCTTATTCTTAATACTTAATATGCAACCAAAAACATGTATTCTCAAATGGATTTAAAAGTAATGGAATGAAACTTAATTCAAATCATAAATATAACGTGTAATGGATGGAAGGTCATTTCACTGTTGACTGAAGCATTTTATCAAACGGTATCAGAACTATTTCAGCACCTGCAATCGGAATTCAACAGAAATGTTTAAAGTAGAGAAATGCTAACGAAACAACCGTTTTGAGTGTTTGCGTACGAAGAAAATGTGTGGAAAATCGACTATACAGAATTTTCTTTTTCGAGAGAAATTGGCACAACACAAAGCAAAAACTTGAGTTACCTTAAAGCTGAAATTGCTTCCGGCCTCTCTGACTCTCTGCGTGAGAGTAAACTCGGAGTTCAAACGCCACGTGTCGGATTGGGTCCTGGGCTTTAGGGATTAACTTAAACGTTTTGGATTTTACCCATGGCCCATCCAATTTCAACATCCTTAAAGCTTTAGGCCGAGCCATAAGCTTTTAGGTTGGACTAAAATTTGGGCTCAGCATCAACACCTCGTCATCCAGCTTCAGTGAAAATAATGAAACGCTTTCTAAAGGAAAAAAAGAACGCATATAGTGGAAAGGTACAGCTGAAGGTGAAGAATTTTATGAAATTGGTTAAATCACATTAGTGCTATACAAGTGTATGACAAAAATAAAAGCTTAATTAAGTTATCAGCTAACTTTTAACATTAAATATAAAATTAGATAAAATTCAAATCAAATATAATTTTATTTTTATTAAGTTTAGATATTAAATATATATTATATTATATTGAATTTTAGATCTGAAAATAAAAAATTAAAAATTAAATCAAATAAAATTATATTTTTTATTTTTTATGAAATAAAATTAATTATTTTATATTTAAAATATATTTAATATATTAAAAATTATATTAAAATAATATATAAAAATTTAAAAATCAATAAACTAAACCAACCAAAAAATTCAATTCAAATCTGATTGAATTATATACAAATTCAATTCAAATTTAAATTATATTTTAAAAATTTATAATTTTACGTATCATATAAAAAACAAACAAACAAATACCTTTATCAATTTTATCATTTTCTTTTGTTTACGTATGTGCGCGTGCATTCCACGTACTTCGCCATTTTCTCTATTTTTTTTTAAATTTAATATTTTATATCTCTTTCCTTCTCACCCTCGCGATTTCTCTTTCGTCCCGTACGATTTACTCCACCCAGAACCTTCTAGAAGCAACAAAACCTAAACTCCGCTCTCTTTCTCCCTCTCTCTCACTCAACGTGCCTACTTTCACTCTGTTTACGGTGTTGAAACCTTTGATTCAACGGTGTCTGATCGCATGAGCCAGGTTTTTTGCTACTTGTTTGGTTGGTGAGAAAATTCTCGCTTTATTTCAGGTACGAAAATTTATTTTTATACTCTTATATCCTCTTATTCTCTCTATAAGATTTGAATATTTTGATTTTTAGTGTTTTCTCCATGATTGATGAAAGAAACGAATTAATATTACAACTTTTGTTTATCGATTAGGTCAAAAAGATCACAATAGCAAGAAACTGTTAATACTATATTGAAACTGTTTACGTTTTTATGTATCTGAAATAGGATATATAAATAAGTTTTGTAGTTGAATTTGGCCGACTAAACTAGATATTTTCACCTAGAAACATCGATGATATTTCTTTGTTAATTTATTTATTTTCTTTTCTTGCATTTTCTCGGCTACCAAACGGATCGATGTTATGTGCTGATTTTTTTTTTTCTAATTTTTTATTCATTTGATCTAATTGGAGTTTAAGCAATCACCAGTTAAAGAGCTAAGTGCACGCCACAGGAATATCTCTGTCTGGAGAATTCCTGTTTTGTAGGGTTCGGATCTAGGACCGAACCCGATTTCCTTATCGCCGGCCGACCAAGCTTGCGAATCGCCGCCGGTTCTCTCGGTCACTCGCATACTTTCCAAAAGTGGTGGTATATGGTGAAATATTATAGTACTAGGTTTACGTACATTGTTTTTTATTTGAATTAGATTGTCTAGGCCCAAAAAAAGCCTAGTGATCCAGTCTGCTAACAATAATGAGCCCGATGGGAGCGGACTTGACTCTGGTGCTGGATTTCTAGAGAAATCGTATTTATTATTGTAACACGCTATTAAATTTAACAATAAAAATAGTATATTAAGTAATAATTTTATATTTTAATAATTAATATTAAATAATATAATATATTATTATTTCTTAAAATGAATATTTTAATAATTTATTATTATTCAATTTAAAATATTAGTTGCATATTTTATTTATTAATGTATTTATATTATTATTTTAATAATAAATAAAATAAAAAATAATTTTGTAATGATTTAATAATGGATATTTTTAATTATAAAACATAATTATTTTAATAATATAATTATTTTAATATTTAATAATAAATGTTAATATTTTATTATTATATTAATAAAACAATATTTTAAGTATAACAATACTGTTTTGAATATTTTAAAATATTAATATAAATATTAAAAGAGTTTTGTTTTAAGCATTTTTATATTAATATAATATTTTAATATTAAATATTATTATTAAAATATAAACTTTTGAATATTAATAACTTTAATATATTTCAATCATAAATAATTTTAATATTTTAATAATTATGTCAATATTATTTAAAAGCAAAGTATCTGAAAAACAATTAAAACTATTTTTTATTGACTCATTTAAATAATAAAAAAATCTTTAATTTTTCAAAAAAATAAATATTTTTCAAAAAATTAATCTTCACAAAATAACGGAATTTAAGAGAGCCAATTGAGGTAAAAAATCATTGAAGTGAATTCATTAATATTGATCCAGAAAAAAAAAGGGGGAAAGAAACTCCCCACACGGCATCAAGGTCTCGGTTCATTGTTATCTCAATAAAAGTGGGAATTGTCAGAAATGAGAGGACCTCAATTTTGTAGGAGCCCATACCTTCATACCTACAAAAGGAGAAACAGAAAGATAAGGTCTGATGAACTACTAGTGGCCTAAGACGACAATAAAAGCCTTAAAAATGTGTGGCTGCCCTTTCCTGCGGCTTTCCCAAATCATCATGTTCTATTAAAATTAAAGATAAAGTCGAACCATTTAGGCTTCTATGCAATGGTGGGTTTTTTCTTTTTTTTTTTTATGGCCAAATAGTGGATTGATTATTTGTATCTCGTTTGTGGAAAATTTAAACTGTCAACTAGTTGCCTGGCTAGAACCCCCACTGCTTCTGACCTCTGGAATTTATTTATTTTTTTAGTTTGGTCGCTGCTGCATCGATAAGATATATAATTTTCAGCCGACTTTCTTGACTAAAAACAGCACTTTAAAAAGTTTCCATGAAATTCTGGTTTTTGCTGGTATCTGACGGTAATCTGTGACAATCTGTGCATTAAATTTAAGCATTGTTCTTGACTTTTAGAGTGGCAGTGTAACACAATTTCATTAAACTTAGTCATGGCTGCTAACAATGTGTTGTCATTTACAATGACAAATGGCTTTAAGTCATTATAGTCTTAAAAAAAAATTCTTTAATTGTACAACTTTTTTCTATTTCTTAATAGGTCTCATTGTTGTTTGGGTACATTATTTGAATTGGTCACTTAATTATTAGATCTAATAATTTTAAATATAAGTAAAAACAATATATAAAATAATATGATTTAAAATTTTGATATAAATTACCATATCTAGTTATCATCTCTTTGAAATATTTTCAAACATGTTGCAACTTTAAATTTAAACAGTATAACTCTATTCATCTTTAAATTATGAAATTGACAAACCCATGCTTCTAGAAAGAGATTTTCAGGTTTAAATTTCTTTTTTACTACAATCATTTTGTCTTGAAAAGAAAAAAAAAGTTTTATTTTATAGGATATTAAGGGTTGGCATGGTCCATGAATAAAATACAATTGCGTATAGAAAGTGCCTGCCAACAATATCCATTGTATTTCTACGAAGATCAATTTGGTGTTGAAAATTTCTCTTTACCAAATAATTTCATAGTGAAAACTAATGTTAGTGTTCATGACATTTACTTGCGGTCCCCTAAAGGTTGTCCCAAGTCTAAGCACATAATTTATATGTCATGTCAACGATATCCATTTTATTTCTATCAAGATCAATCTTATCATATTCCAAAATTAACTATTATTTGGTAGAAAGAAGTAAATTCATGAATTCATTTATAAATTCATTTTTATACATTGACAGTGTGATTTCTTAATTCTATATAAAATTACATGTTGTTCAAGTGATTGGATGACGAAACTATACATATCATCTTTAATTTTCTTTTTCTTTTATAGTGTTATAAGGTAATCATTTGATGGTAATTGGTTTAACTTTTTTTTTTTTGGCCTTTTATGTTCTGTTCCAAATTAACATTATTAGCTGTGAAAATTGAAAAACAACAACATCAAATTATTGCACAAGCATTTGTTTCTTAATTTTTTGTCTTTTTTTTATCTGATTTTTTTTTCCTTTTCCTGTTTGATTTATTTACATTCAATGCATCCAAATGTAAAGTTCCATGCATGTTACAGTTGTGACGTCTAAATAAAACTCTCATTAAAAAATTTTTTCCATATAAACTGCTTTTAAAAGGTTAAATGAAGGAGAAAATACAAGGAAAAGAAGCATATTCTTCTATTTTCTTTTGCTTTAGTCTTTATTTATTTAATTGCCTCTTAATTCCTAATTTTTTGTAAAAAAAAAAAATCGTATTTTAGAGATAAAAAATTATTAATACGTTAAAATTTATTTAATATTATGATATGATTATATGAATTAATAATATTTTAGACATTGGATTCCATTATCTAGATATGTATATTTTAATTTAATCTTAATTATAATTGCTGTCAATTCATATTATAAAGAAAGGAGGAAGACTACTTGCAGGAAAAGTGTGAAAAACACATGCAATTGACTGATCCTTTTGCGAATGTGATGGGAAAATGAGCAGAACCTCCTCTCCTTCTCCTTCTTTGTCTGTTTTGACTTAGTAAAGTAGGGGATATTACTTTGTTCATTTCCTGTATCCCTTCAAATACTTTAGCGGCGACCTGTAAAAGTTTATATATGAACATCAGCAAGCCGATAATATATTTAATTAATCCAACATCTAAATGAATAAAATTGAAGAGAAAGTTCTTGATGATGTAGTTATTAATTTGGAAATTTAACAGAAAATGTCGGAAACTAGACACCTGACAGACGTACAGGAGGGAAAGATGACTTGAAAACTTCGCCATAAATTGATTGCCTTTGTCTTTGTGATGGAAAATCCTGGAAACTTAAAAGTTTCATGCGTCGGCATGGCCAGAAAACAAAAGTTTATCTGCCACGTTCACACCATCGTTGTCAGACGAAAAACCCACGCATTCTTATCTGCAGGATTAATGAATAAGACCTTGGAAACGTTATTGGGTTTATTTATTTAATAAAATGAATCGAAATGCTGTGAAAGAAAACTAGAATGCCAAAAGAAAAAAAATGAGAAAAGAATAACATTTCTTTCATAATTATCTCTTCATCGTTATCCTCTTATCAAAGTATATATTATGCTACTTGTTATCATGTCATGTGGCAGTGGAACCTACTCCCGAAGCTCAAATGAATATAAAAGCAAAGAAAGAGAAATTATTTTTCGTAGGATAGTGGCGTTATGAGTGATTATTGGGATTATTTTAAATTAATAATTTATAATTATTTATTTTAAATTATTAGATATTATATATTTTATTTTAATTTAAAAAATTGAATAATTTATTTTTTTAGTTTTTTTTAAAGGATAATATTAGTTTGAGATTGGATCGATTTAATATAAATATTTATGGATAATATAAATAATATTGTAAATTTTTAAATTTTAATTCAAGAAAAAATTATTTTTTTAATCGATTTGATTTATCTTGATTTAAAATTGTATTTAAATTTAATATATATTTAATATTTAAAATTAAATAAAAAAATTAAATTTAAATCAAATTAAATATTATAATTTCAAATTAATTTTTAATTTTTCGATTTTTTTTCTCTATCCTACTCGTTCGTGCCTCTTCACCAGAAAAGGCATTGAGTTGGAGTGGGGACTTTTGGTTGACTTAGATGATAAATCTAAGCCACAACATCAAAGAAACATTCAGCGTTTAAATTTCTCGGTACCCTCTTTTTAAATCTCACTCTCATTTATTCTACCACGAAGCTACACTCTCAGTCTCTCCTCTCAATTTCCTGCATGCGGCTTCATTAGAAATATCCTTCATTTTGATACTATAAATTCAAACCCCAAACAAGTTCTTCTATCTCATTTCCTTTGGTTTCCTCTCTTTTTCCCATTGAAACACACAAAAAAAAAAAATCCATTATGTTGGATTGCAGTCAACAGAAGTTCACTTTGGAGATGACAGTGGTGTCAGCACAAGGGCTGAAGAACACCTCTTCTCTATTCTCCCACCGTCTCAGGCCCTTCGTCACCATCACCACCTTCCCGCCACACCACCCATGCGACGCTACTGATCATAAGAGGCCCCGCCACATGTTCCAAACGAGGGTTGATGATCAAGGTGGTATCAACCCTACTTGGGGTGACAAGTTTCATGTTCCGATAGATAACATCTTCTTTGCCAATCGATATTCTTGTATATATCTCCAATTATTCACTAAACGACTCATTGCTGGCCAGGCTCAACTGGGTTGGTGCCAGATTCCCGCTGCCGACATAGGGCTCCCGCCGGTGGGCTCGGTCAGGCAACTAAGCTACCGGTTACGAGCTGGAGACGGTACAAGGACTAGGGGGATTGTCAATGTGGCAGTGAAGTTGGAAGTTCCTCAACTAGCAAATAACACGTGTCAAACTGTGATAGGTATACCGGTAAGGATTATGCCACATGTCAGTGAGATAGGCCCTAGTTGTAAGGGGCTAGAGAATGTGACAAGTGGGAAAGTTGTGGGGCCCGAGGTGAAAGAGCCAAACGAATGGTGTGGAGGAACAGGGTTATAGCCGGACTACAATGAGAACGAGTGTAGTGTAATGTATGGACTTTGAAAGTTGTATTATGATTGTGGATAGAAGAATTTCAATTCACTAGTAATTGTTTCTGGAATGATGAAAACAAAATGTGCAATCACAAGGGAAAGGTTGACTTGATTGAGGCTAGGGTTTGGGTTTCCAAAAGTTTATACTCTCTTACATCAAAAAATATACAAGTTTTTCTCCCTATTTTCTCTTTAATATTTATAAACAAGAACCAGTAAAGTTAAATTGGAAAGAAGCATGAAGAGAGCTTTGGCTTGTTGTATATGAAGGAATGGGCAATATATTTTTATTTTCATGAAATTATAAAAATAACTGTTATAATCACTTGGATTTGATTCAAGTGATTGGCCCGTATTTAATTAGATAATAAAAAAATTTTAGATTTGAGTTGCAATTCTCTGATAAAGGAAGGAGCTTGAGCTAATTTTCCTATAAAATCTTTGAAATGTTTTTTTTTTATATATATATAAAGATAGTGAAAAGAAAGTAGTCACAAGCAAAGGCAATGTGAAATATGAATCATCATCATCACCCGCCTCCCTCAATCAGTGGGAAGGTGTTTTGCCTTTCTACACTGGAAATGCCGACTTTGCTCACTCATTAATGGCTAATACATGACATTTAGTAATGATTGCTTGCGGTGCTAAACGGTGATGCTTGATTGATTTGATAGGTTCGGTAGCAATCAATATTATTAGGTAAAGAGCTATGAAGGAAATCCCATCAACACGGACAGAAAGAAAATACGCTGGTTCATACTTACATGGCATCAAAATGATACATCAATAGTTAATAGTTTTATAACTTCATTATATTTTGGGACATTTTACATCTCAAAAAGTATAAAAAAAAATAAATTTATTCAAATTATTATATTTCATCTGAGTACAAAAACTGGTTCTATAATTTAATTTAACATTCAATACATAGTTTAACTGTTTTAGTGATGTCTTGTTGAAGGTTAAGACAAGTATTAATCACCATTAATTCAGTAGTTAATACCTTCAAAATCTTGTTGAGGTAAATTTAGTACTTTTAATACTCATTTTTTTAAAATCCTTAAATGCCCCGGGAAACATTAAAGATATACACAATTCCTCAATGAAGGCCAGTGCTAAAACAAGCACATCATGACAGTCACCAGTACCATGAAGACAACGTCTAAATCTATCATCACTAGAACAACAACAGAGTAGCCTACGCTGTGCATTAAAATGCTCTCGAGCTGAAATCTTATGCCAGATGTGACCATGAATAATTATTTTCCATTCTTCTACACCTCCTCATGGCTGCTACTCTTTAGAATGTTATACTTGCAGAGAGGACAGGTAGCATTGATGTACAGCCACTTATCTACACAGGCACAGTGAAAATGGTGACCACAAGGAAGTTCTCTTAGCTCAACTCCATCATCATAAGCAGAAAGGCAAATGCAACATTCCTGCAAATTAACCCAAGAATCAAATATCAGTTGGGTCTTGACTTAAGATCTCCTTTAACTCACAGCATGACAAAAGGAATTATCACAAAAGAAAAGAAACAAGCCTGGCTTCACATCATATCATTCCCAGAGAGGCAAATCATAGGAGAAAGGAAATAAAATGCAAAAAAATAAAAAACAAAGAGATCAACTTACTGCATCATCCGGGAAAGCACATGCTCCATGGGGGAATCGGTACCACATTCAGTCATTATTCCCCCAACATGTCCTTGGACATCAGCCGCAGATTTCTCATCATCGCCAATTTTTTGAAATTTGAATTTTGACAACTGATCAATGTCTTCCTTGGAAGCTCCTTCCTGATTCAACAGGTCATATGAAGCAAGTAAAAAGAAAAGTATATCAAGAGAGAAAAAGTTAAAAATGAAAAAAAAAAAAATGCCAAGTAAATATATCTTAATTTCTAAGAGCCATACAACTGCACAAATTACAAATTTTCTTACAACTGCACAAATTACAAATTTTCTTGCTTAAAAGTTGTTTCAATCTTTCCAGTCAAATGCAGAAAGCAGGGTCATTTCTTTAAAAGTGCTTAAAGCATGGCCATCAGGAAAAATTTAACATCATAACGTGTATCATGCAAAAGTCCAATACTATATCGTATTGACTTTCTGAAGCAAACCTCTATCAAACTTCCCTTTACTCCACTATGATAAGATAACTATCTAAGTTCAATTAGTTTCATGTAGAAAAAGCTCAAAATTCATGCAAGAACATAAGTAGGCCTTCCAGGTGATTCTAAGTCAACTTCAAAATTTACCGAGCATATTTACCTCCATTAACGATCTCATTACAAAATTAGATATTCATGCACAAAAATCAAGCATCAAATGCACACAAATAATCATGATAATCTATTAATCTTACAAGCAGGGGGATGTGAAAGTTACCTGATCTGCCACAGCATATAGGATTGCAATAATACATGGAAGACAGCAGCAAACAGCAATGCCAATGATGCATGCCAGTGCAACACAGAAAACAACAAAGAACACATCAAAACCAAGAAAAATTATACAAAGCCTGCAGAAAAAATTGCATTAAAAGAGTTAGCATCCAATTACAGGGAAAAACCTTCAAACACTGAAAAAGTTAACTGGAAAAACAACACAAGAACTAACCAATAAAGTTGAGGGGAGCCACGTGCCAATGCTTGGCCACCAACGGATACCCAGTAGAATCCAATGATCCACCAGATGAACGAAAACATTGTATTTGCAGATTCCAGATGCTTGGTAACACTGCTGAAAACATCAATTTCTAATGATTAGCCCCTAAATGAGAGTCTGCAGTAACATATACAACTTGAACAATAATGGGTGAGGTTAAATATATCCAAGATACACTATAAAACATACATATATGCCCAAAGATCATAACAAAATTTTTGAACACGTCACCCAACTAATTCAAATGCATAGAGCAGATTCTCATAACAAATTACAACTTATATGTAGATAATGCATTTGTACAACTTAACCAAGTAACACTGAACTAGTAAATATCGACACTTATCACTACAGAAGTAATATCTTCAATCCAAACCCCTAATTGACAAATAAGAAGTAACATCTCAAGAGTAATCCAAAACTATCATTAACTTTTCAAAACCATCAAATAGAGAGATAAATCTTAATCAACATTAATGTATACCTTCCACCATCCTCTTCCAACTGGGCCAATGTCACGTACTGCTCTGAATCCACCCTTGATCCCGGGCTTAAAACCCCATCCTCCCTTTCACTAAATGGTCTGTACGCCATGCTCTGCCGCCTCCTCCGCCGCCTATACTCCACACAAACGCAAACCATATGCAACAAACATTGCAAAGCGTACCCAATTATCCACAGCCTCAACGGCATATTGGGCATCTCGTCCCTGCTCAAAACCAAAACCCCAACTGCCACAGCCACGAACGCGAAATTCCAGATAATATCGAGGATGACAACGGGCTTCGAATACGCCCAATCGCTCTGGCGCTCCTCGAGCTGCTCGGCGGCAGTTTCTCGAACCAGAATGGACGGCTCACGCATTATTCTTCGGTTGCTGGCTCGGCGCAGGAACCGAGCCGCTTCACTAAGGCTCTGGTGACGTACAGATCGACGCGTGGTAGACTCGTCCCGTGACACGCTGCTTGTTGATGACAGAAACGGCGTCGTGTCGATGATGTCACCGGAGGAGGATCGGTTCGTTGGAGTCGTCGAAGTCATCTTCTAGAATTCTCCAAAAATAAAAAAAAATCCTAGAATGTTTTTGTTATAAATAAAACAATTGGATTTCAAAGGGCCCTGTAATTTTTTTTATGCCATGGAAAAAAGGATTTAATTCTTTCCTTTTTGGATTTTGGATAGATAGGGTTCTGTGGAATGTTGGTCGTTGGATGGATGGATAGATGAAGATGATGAATTGATGGTGCTGATGAAACGTCACTGATGGAAGCTTTGTTCCCCCTTTTTTTTTTTTTTTTTCTGTTTGGTTGTTATTGATATTATTTTCTAGATTTTTTACTAATTTAATTTGTATAGTGATTAAATTATTAAGGTAATTTCATGATGAGTGATATTAATTTATTATATTTTATACAATATTATAAATTATTTAGTGATTTTAAATTATTGTATCAAGTATTATACAAAAAATTAAATTAAAAAACACAAAATATTCAAAATAATTTTGAAAAAATACAAAAAATTTTATACTTGCTAAATCAACCTCTTATAAAATAATTAAATATTGTTTTATAAAATACTATTAAAGTATTCATTAATTTTGATAAAAACATCTTTTAAATTATTAAATAAATTTATTAGTTTTTTAGTTAATAGACATTTATTTAATTATAACAGAATTCTTTTATAATAAGTAATTTAAAAATGATTTTTTAAAATTCTTTATAGCCAACATTTTGAAATAATGTTAATTCTTTTTTTCTGTTAAGATAAATTTATTAAAAAATTTTATTATAATGAAATTTTTTATTTTTAGTGTGAGAATCAGTTCACTCTGAAGACATTGATTTTATTAATTTAATGATTACAATCAAATAAAATAATTTTATTATAAGTATAAATTATTATAATTTTTAAAATAATTTAGCGTTTGGTGCAGTTATTACAGTTACCATAATGGTTAGTAGTAACTGTAATTGATGTAACGGATTTTTTATTTATTATGATTACGATTTTGGTAGTAAAGTATTGAGTACTATTGACTAATCACTAATTAAATAAAATGTCCGCTATTTAAATTCAATTATAAATGTGGAAGCCTTTAATAGTTAAGATTCTTGAACTAACTCATTATCAATATTTGGCATTAACTTTTGTGCTGGTCAATGGACCAACTGAATTTGCGCCGGTTAGTAGACACCATGTTTGTGTTGCTCAAGAAATATGGTCCTATAAGTTTGTTGGTCAAAAGTTAGATTAAATTGATCAAATCAATAGTCTTGATATTCCAAGTTGGATATGATCAGCGGATTGAAAGAGTTGGGTAAGGCAAGGGATGAATTTATCGGTGCGAACAACATATGGATCATTTTGAGTAAGGGTATTTAAATTTTGATTTTAATTTTAAATAATTTAATTCAAAATTAATTAAATTGATCGAATAAATAAATTTAATTTTGAGTAATATTTGTTCAATAATAATGATCATAAATTTAAGTAAATCAATGAACTTTTAATATCGAATGAATTAGTAAATCTTAAGATTGAGCAGGACAAAATTTTTGTAAGTGAAGTGGATGTAATGCCCTTGTTCGTAGTCGAGCCAAAGTGAAGTGCATAGAGATCGAAGGTAGATGCGAACTTCGAGTATATGAAATTGTTATTGAGACATGGTTGCGTGCAAAAATCAAGTTTGAGTAATAGTAGAAAAGCATTGTGATTTCATGTGAAATTGAGCTAAGGCAGCAAAGCGTATGGGGTATCTGTGCGCCAAGAAGATGCCGCCACGAGAAATAAATGTGAAAGTTTTTGGGAGTTAAAGATTATTGAACTACCTCATTATCAATATTTGGCATTAACTTATGTATTGTCTGACTTAAAAAAAAAAAAGCTATGTATTGCCAAGATTTGGCCTCCAATCTTCACTATATATTCAATAAACACTATCTGAAATCATTTTGATTCGTAATAATATTCGAATAATTCAATGTTTATTTGTGGAATTGACTTGAATATCCAAATTCCACACGATGAAATGCATCGGACGACAGGTAGGTGAACTTTTGAGTTTCATGGCATTTTAATTTCTTTAACCTTTGATTTACATGTTGACAAACTCCATTATCACTCTTTTTTTCTTTTTTTTTGTATAAGGGTATAGATGTTGTGAGGAACAAAATTAAGATGTTTGCTCAAAAGAAAGTGACTTTACCTCCTGGACGGCACAAGATAGTTATCCAGGATGAAGCTGACTGGTAAATGCTAGTGATGGTGTTCCATGAATCTCTAGTTTGATCATGTGGCATGTTCTTCTGATACTTTGGTTTTATCTGCTAAAATTTGAATAATTATGCAACCTTGTGTATTTTTGCTTGGCTAATTCATGCTGGGAGCATCTTCTGTTTTTAGTTTATAGGTGCCGTTTCAACTCACAATTGCACTATTTTTTTGCTTTTGTTTTGGATTGAGTATCTGATGCATATATATTTTATAATGGTTAGCATGACATCTGGTGCACAACAAGCCTTGAGGAGGACAATGGAAATGTATTCAAACTATACTCGTTTTGCTCTTGCTTGCAATACATCATAAAAAATCATTGAGCCTATTCAGAGGAGATGTGCCCTCGTCCGATTTTCAAGGTTATCTGATCAAGAGATTCTACGTCATCTCATTGGTAGTAGATTCAGAAAAGGTACAATAGTTTCCTGCAATACATTTTGTGATCTCCATGATACTGAAAATATTGGTAGAAAGTGTGAACTCCTGTTTAGGGTAATTTTTTTTATACTTTCTCATTCTTATTATTGTTATTGATGAGACTCTATGAAATGCTAACACTTTTGCATGTTGCCAATTTCACTATTTTCGCTTTCAAGGGAGAGCTTCCTTTGCTTATTTTCTTTATTACACTAAACATAGTCATGTTTGGTTCTATTTGTTAGCAAAACATAGGAGTGCAAGGGAGAATCCTATTTATTTGCTCTGAATAATTGTTTAAATTTGCTGGTGAATCACTTAAAGGTTTATTGTTCTGAACTAATGGAAATCTTATCATCATTGATTGTTCGTGAAGTTGATGCAACTGTCCTTTGTTTATTTACTTTATTACTCTAAACATAGTAATGGATGGTTCCATTTGTTAGCCAAAACATAGGAAAGCGAGGGAGAATCCTATCTACTTACTCTGAACAATTGTTTAGATTTGCTGGTTGTTGCCTTAAAACGCTTTATTCTTCTGAACTAGTGGAAATCTTATCATCATTGATTGTTGTTTAAGTTGATGTAAATGCATAATTGACCTCATTTTGCCATCAATGAAGGTTCCGTATGTTCCAGAAGGTCTTGAAGGCATCATCTTCACTGCTGATGGTGATATGAGGCAGGGATTGAACAACTTGCAGGCTACATATGGTGGATTCAGATTTGTCAACCAAGAAAATGTTTTCAAGGTTACAACACAGAAAAGACTTACACCAATTTGGCATGTTCTACAACTTTGGGGATGCTATAATATGTTGGTTTCTTGTTAGGTTTGTGACCAGCCTCATCCATTGCATGTAAAGAACATGGTCCACAATGTAATTGAAGGGAAATTTGATGATGCTTGTTTGGCTCTGAAGCAACTCTATGATTTGGGCTATTCTCCGACTGATATAATCACAACACTTTTCAGAATAATAAAAAATCATGATATTGCTGAGTACTTGACACTTGAGTTCATGAAGGTACATACTATCGTATGCTAGAACTGTATATATTTCATCTTAGCACAAAATCGTCTTTGTCACAATAGTTCTTGTTCCTTGTGAGTTGCAGGAAACTGGGTTAGCACATATGAGAATCTGTGATGGAGCTGGTTCATATCTTCAGTTGTGTGGTCTTCTGGCTAAGTTTGCTCTAGTTCGTGAAACTGCTAAAGCAGCATCAGTTAGGTGGTTGGTAAAATTAGAACCTGCTGCTGCATCTGATGTCTTGATGGCGAGAACCTTTAATTTATAGTGATGTTGCTTTAACATTTAGATTAGATGTATTAGGTTTCATACATAGGACCTTTTGTTCATGGGAGAGCGAAGTTGCTTTTATATGGGAACTTGCTGCCTGAGCTTATCATCATCTAATTTAATTTCTCCATCATGGATTCTGTAAGCAAACCAATCGAAGAAAGCAGGGTGGCATTGCTATGGCCGAAGTCAATGACCTAGGTCAAGACTCTGATCTGATGATGGGCAAGTGGGTTGTGGCTTGTTTGTGAATGAGGCTGAGTGTAAGGGCTCTTGGGCTTTAAGAAATGGACAGTAGAACACGGACCAGGGCAACTCAGCTTACAACTAGTGCTCGGCTGTCTGGATTTCAGAGGTGAGGCAGAAGTGAGGAGAGTGGGTCCAGTGGGTTTGTACTTGTTAGCATTTGCTACCTTTTATCGAAGAAGAATTCGTGATATTTTTGAAGAAGCAACCTATCCTTTTATTTATATATTTTTTATTTTTAAAATAAATTATGAATTGATAACTGAAAATGATTTGCAATGCACGTTTTAGGAGGAAATCATTTGTACTAATTACCCGAATTTAAGTACACTCCTTGTCAATTCATCTCAGTTTTGTTTCTATGGAGACAAGCGCATGCAGTAGTCGTTTTATCGGTGTGGAACGGCTCTCATTTAATCTTATCTTGTATAAATATATAGAAGTTAAAGCCTTTGATAAAAAGAAAATAATCCAATGTGAATAGTTTATATTTTTAATATATGGATGGGTTTAAAAATTATCATATATTCTCTAATAAATGTATTTTATTTATTTAAAACATTTTTATTATTTTTATAGTAACATTTTTATTACTTAAATTATAATTAGTTAGATTAAATTATTACATTTATTACATTTTAAATATCTAATATTTTTACCTTATATGAATAAATTACAATTAATTTGGTCAATAATACACATAAAAAAAACTAAATAAAAAGCTAATTACTCATAAATATATTTTCATATTTTTTTATTACTTATGAAAAATTAAATGAAACTTAATGTAGTAAATAAGAAAATAAAAATGAGCTATTTAATGAGTAGACAATAAAGGTATAATTAAATTAGGAAATTTTTTGTTTTATTTTTTAAAAAAGATAATAAATTAGGCAAGAATTCAAATTTTGCAAGTTTGAAGAGTAAACTGCATTAATTTCATATCTTTTATTACTTATTACATTAAATAACTAATAATAGTAAAATTTTAATAGATTTACGATAATATTTCTTAATAGTAATATAA